GGCTCAGTCCGAAATCGACCTGAAATGCCCCCTAGAGACTTCCTGCTCACCTACTGTGAAATTAGGGACCAAATGGACAAACAGCAATGGCACAGCGCTCCGCTTGAGTCGCTGAGGCCAAGGTCCCTCCACGCTAAGTCTCTGATTCCACTCCGGAGTCGTCTGTATCAGCCCATCTCTAACAAGTCTCTACTCTAAAGCTAAAACAAAAGTGATCCTCAATGGCGTAATCAGCAAAGAATTCCCAATAACAAGAGGGGTCTGCCAAGGCAACCCCCTATCCTGCCTCCTCTTTAACTTTGCTATAGAACCACTAGCAAACACCCTCAGAGAATCCCCCTCCCTTAAGGGCCTAGAGATCAATACCCCCTCCCTCTCACAAAGAGTAATTGTATCCCTCTTCGCCAATGATGCCGCTGTCTTCCTCTCCAAAGACGATGACCTACACAACCTATTCTCAACACTAAACCGCTGGTGCATCACATCTGGTGCAAGGTTCAACCAAGAAAAAACCGTCATCCTCCCAGTCAGCTCCCCAGAATTCCGCGAAAGAGTCCATAACGAAAGAACCCTTAGCCCCTGTGGTGACGAAAGCATAGATGAGTCAATAACCATTCTAAAAGATGGACAAACAATGAGATACCTAGGGGCCCAATGCGGGAACAAACCCAACCATAATGACCCCTGGCCCTCAATCATAACAAACGTAGAAAAATCACTCACCCAATGGAATAAAACCCACCCATCCATTGAGGGCAGACGCCTGATCATCCAAATGACCATCGGTGGAATGACACAATTCCACACTCGTGCCCAGGGAATGCCAAAAAACCTTGAACAACACCTGAACAAAAGAATACGAGAGTTTATATGGAACTCCGAAAGCCCCCCCCCCCAATCAGCATGAATCAACTGAACAAACCAAAAACCAAAGGCAGTAAAAATGTCTTGAACTTACAAGATAGGAACGAGGCAATCCACCTCATCAAACTCCAAAAAATCCTCGACAAAACCCCCAATAGGCCCCTGGCCTCAGATGCTGCTGAAGCAATCCTAATAGCCACCCTCCTGAAAAACCAACTGCCCCAGGACCCAGCATACCCCTTCATCACAGCCCCCTGAAGAAACCACAAAACAATATGCCATTGGGGACCCAAAAGACATCAAAATCTTCTCCCCATCCCTGCTCTACACCCCGCTTGACCACCACTACAGAATATTTGGCAGGACCCCCCCGGTTACCCCAAATAACCCCACCCCCCAACCACAACAGCCTCACAACGAAGTGGCATTCATGGATGGGTCCTGCTCCCAAAATGGTGAGACATACGCCACAGCCGGCTTTGGAGTATGGTATGGCCCAAACAATCCCCAGAACACCAGCAAAAGAATCAATCCCCACTACTCACAATCCAATAACATAGCCGAAATACTCACCATACATCACGCCGCCACCTCCATACCGCCATCATCCAACCTCCATATCAAATCCGACTCAAAATGGTGTATCAACTCCCTCTGCAACAACCTCAAAACCCTCGAAGACTCAGACTACACCTACGCAAAGAACAGCTACTTTATCAAACTGACTGTAAGCGCCCTGAGAAGTAGACTCACCCCCACCTCATTCGAATGGCTTAAAGGCCATGCTGGGATCCGCAGAAATGAGGAAGCGGACAACCTCGCCGCAATAGGGGCACAATTAGCCCCAGAACACCTCCCACCTGTAGAACCTCCCCCCCCCCACACATACCAAGCGGAGCCCACCTACGTGCCCTAAACCAATCCACAGTGACCAGACTAATCTGCAGATCCAGATTAGCCAAAATACCCGATCAAAGAACAACAACAGCCAATAACATCACCAGAATCCAATCGACTCTGGCAAGCCTAAGTAATGACCCCCCCACACAAAACAACATATGGGAAACTATAGCGAAGAACCACAAGGAAACCTCACCTGAGATCCAGAACTTCCTCTGGAAGCTGACCCACAGCTGTCTCAAAATTGGCAAATACTGGAAGAAAATCCCAGGCTTTGAACACTGGGGAGAGTGTGACCAATGCCAACAAACAGAATCGATGGCTCACATCTTATGTATTCGAGTGCCCCCTCAACCATGGAGAATGGGCATGGGCTACAGCCAAGGCAATGTGCGACCGAAGAAAAATCACATGGCCCCCAACCTTAGACACCTCACACGTGATGGCTGCCCCAATAACTAAAATAAAGAACACTAACGGTAACCTGAGAAAGGGCGAAACAAGACTGTACCGTATTGTAATGCCAGAATGCATGTGGCAAACCTGGAAGGCCAGATGCCGGAGAGTCATCAACCCTGACCACCCACAAACCACACTAACCGAAATAAAAAACGCCCTCCGTGCTCAATGATAAACTCCAACAAGACATTGCCCTAACAAACCGGAAAAAGTATGGCCGAAAGGCCCTACCGGCCAAACTAGTCCTGCATACCTGGAGCGGAAACCTTCACAAGGAAGGGAGACTGCCGGATAACTGGCTGAATAGCACCGGGGTTTTAGTGGGTATACCGGACCCTCCGTGACCGAGTCCGGGAGCCCCACACAGCACCAAACCAGCCAGTGCGTAATGCATTTCCCTGCGGTGGCAAACCGGCATTCAAACCACTCCACACTCCATGGGATTCTACCTCCCTGTACAAACCCCAAATACATGTTATGTATCGCGAAAGCTAATGGGGTTCCACCAAAAAAAAAGAAGGTGACCTTGCAAGCAAGGTAACAAAGCAGCATCCTGCCTCCACACATGTTTCGTCCCTAGCTAGTCATGAATCCCATCCATCTCAGTGGGAGATAACAAGTCGGTTCTGGACTCCTAACTCTCTCAATGACCCATCAAATTCCACCACTGTCCTTTGCTTCTATCTCTGCTACTAGCTCCGATGTCCCATTGCATCTTCAATCTTCCCTGGGATCCATGTCCACCCATTAACTTGATTAGGCCTCCAGGGTTTCCAGAGCCGACCCTGGTTGAAGAATTTCCTTGTCTATGTGAGAATGAACTTCCTGATAGAGCTGGGCTTTACTTAATAGCTTGATGGGAGATTGAGTTTCCTGGCCCATCTGGTGTCGATCCTTCATTTGCAGAGGTGCTGTCACTTCCCAGCCAACCGAGTAGCCAATTTTCCACGGCCTCACCTCATCTCTTGCTGTGTTCGCTGCTATCTCAACACTTTGTGTGTCATTGGCCACACACATGGCAAGCGGCACAGGAGTGGGTGCCCACTCTGAAGACTTGAACCCTCAACCGTACAGGACTTGCTCTGTGCAAACCTTCTGCGAAAGTGTGGTTAAGGGCCCTCGCGCCGTCGATGCCAAGATTATGTTGATTGAACATTATGGGGACCTTCGTGGCATGTCACATTGATTTCTTATCCTTCACGTTACCCGGGCCTGTGGAAGAGACTTTTACATTCGCTTGGGTTGAGATCCAGGGATATTGAATGTGGTAGATACTGTGTGTTGTGGGATATATGGTCATTGCATGAGAACTAAGGCACACTGAATAACTGGGGAACACACCGCCTGAAGCGGCACTCTTCTCATATTGTGTCCTTCACCATCAACGGCGTCGCCCTCAGTCGAGACCCCACCTGAGTTTCTCATTCCTCCAGCAGTTATTGTCCTTTCCTTTTTCCCCCCCACATTTCTTGCTTCACAATTGCCCCGAGTCCCAGTCCAGCTGCGAGAACATGGAAGGCAAAACCCACTTCTTCCATCAGACGGCTCCCCTTGAGTGCGTCATCATCTAGAAGTAGGAGAAATGAATCGCAGAACGCCTCACTGCCGCCCTGTCACGACCCGGCAATTCCCACGGTCAGGTGACCACTTCCCACACCTTCTCCCTCCTCTGCTTCGACCCCGTCAACTCCGCTGCCCACCCGATGCCACCTGGACAAGCCTGTCATCCATCCCTGTCACTGCTACCTGTTCCACGGCCCATCATGGGCCTATGAGTCATTCCTTATTATGCTTGTTTCCTTGATGGCCGTGCATGGCCGTCCTCCTCCCATGCTCTTTGTTTGTTTTTGCTCCTTCTTAAGCCCGCCCGCAATCTCCATGAGATCTGGCAACTTATTCCTATTCATTTTGTTACACTTAAATACCGGTTGTACACTACCTCGTACTTTAGTTCGGAAATCAACTAGGGTTACCCCCTGTGCTTCCTGTCTGACCCAGTCGCACCTTCTGTTCTCTGAAATATCGGGGCCGCGTCAAGTACAAGGTGCAATGCTCACAAACGAGTCGTTGAAGCCGAAACCCCGCTTTCGCCATGATTGTCATCCCCACCCTTAATGGGCTGTTACACCGGAGTAGCGGACCTTAACGGTCGCCGACGGCGAGTCATGGTAACATTTTCCCACACCCTGACATGCCCGCTCACTTACTATTTTCCAGAGAAAGAGACATCTTAACCTTCTTGGTCTCCTTTGGAGCCGCAACTCAGCTCTCCTTGAACATTGGGTGCAGAATTTGCAAGTTAAAGAGCAGTTACAATTGTCGGCATAAGTCCAGCCATACTCGATTTCACCATGTCCTCTTGAAACGTACACGACGACTGAGGTCCAGTACAACGAAGAAAGCTGGCCACATACCTTCACAATGGTGGCCAAGACCAGACGTGTTTTTCAGAGGATTTAAAGCATACAGTTGGTCTGCAAGACAATTTCTTCGCTTCAGGTGGAAGAGTCATTGGGGGCATTACCCAGTTGGATTTGATACTTCATGCCATTCACCTTGGTGTGCTGCCAAACATTGTAAGTGATGAATCGAACAATGCAAGAGGGGAAAGAGGACAAACGTCTTATTCGCACCACATGCGGCACACTGATTACCATATAACAATATAACAATAAATTCAGACAACTCCGCTACAATACAGCTAAGGTCATAACTGAAAAGCTAGACCTCATTGACTGATCAAATCTTAACCAAAACACCAAGAAACAACTCGAAGATCAAAACCGGCAATGAACCAAACCACCACCAGCTGCCCTCTGAACATGCCCCCATATATGACCAGCCAAATGGATAAATGCAACGTGCCAGATATGAGACAAAGCAATTGCCACCCTATCTGGAAGTGATGGGAAATCCCGCTTTAATAACAGAGTATGGCCCAAAAACCATCTATTCCACCCATGGGGCCAGGATAAAGCGGAATTATCAGATAGGAGTGAAGGAATTACCTGACACACCCTGCCACAAACAAGTAAAGGGATGTCCTCCAAAACCTCTTGTGACGAACGCGCGATGTCAGCCAAAGTGGACACTCGATAGGCCTCGAAAATAGGGCAGTCACAGAACAAATGACAAGGAGATTCCAAACAATTACAACCATTCTGACACCGCCCACTTCGACTCAGTCCCCTGAAAAACATCAATGAATTAGAGGGCAACTGACCAGATCAAAGGTACAACTGGACAGCAGCAGAGTAGCCAGCATTGGATCTCACATATGGGAATGGTGGGCATGATGGGAAGTTGGGATTGGGCAGGCGAAACTCGGGTGTCGCAGACAATGCATGGTGGGACATTGACACAAACCGAGATGAGAAATAAGAGAGCAGGTTTGAATCAACGTACCTGGATGCCACACCACAAAGTCATCCATCGAAAATGAAGGTAGGGGAGCCAGTGGTGACTGCAATGGGTCGAAATGAGCTTGAGCTGCCAAGCGATCAGCAGCATTGTTCAACCTCGAAGCGACATCAAGCTCCTGAGTATGAGCCTTCACATGATAGATGGAGAAATTCTGGTTGTTTGCCACAATTTGTTCCAACCACCGATACCAAGGTCGAGCAGGCTTGTATGACCAAAAATTTGGAGGCAATGTGCCTGCACGAATATCTTGTATTAAACAGATCGAGTGCAGATGATCGGAGAAAACCGCAACGGCAGTGGGAGTGGGGTGTGACAAGATGGCTGCCATAATATGGACTGTTGGAATACAAGTCACATGATGAAACTGAACCGGAATATCCGGGAATATTCTAGGGGTTACTAGGCACCTGTGTAAGCGCTGGGCATAGAAGAGCCTGGAATATTGTTGAGAAGTATAAATATGGGCGCTGGAGCGCCATGTGTATTTTAGTTATATTTCTTTCTATATTACATCTGGGTTGCGAGTGAACCGCTGAAGCGGGTTGCCATATTTGGAACGCCGCGTTTACAACATGGACCGACGTCGGTCACAGTGATCATTCCCCCCAAAAAAAAAACTGAATTCGGCGGGTGCGTTGCGATCACCATGCATATAGTCTGATTAGACACTGCTGCACTGCGGTAAGCCACGGTTGAACCGGGGTTAATGGGACCCAAGGAGTTAGCAGAGTTTGCGTGAGCGAGAGCTTCATGAGCAACGATGGAAGCATCCATAACTAAAGAGCGCTTGTTAGTTCGAGTTTGTTCCTCGCGCTCTTTTATTAGTGATCCCGGACTTGTGCATGAAAAGTAAAGTTTGAACCCGAACCGCTGGTTGGGAAATATGAACCGCGACACAGAACATCCACTACGTACCAACTAGGTTACAGCGTGACAATGGGCATCAGGTTGTACTTGAGACCCAGCTGACATTGCAGCCCCAAAGCTGACCGCCGGATCCATGGTAGTACTGCAGTCATCCGCTCAATCCGGTTTCTGTTTTTTGAACGTTGTTGTGGGGACAAGTCCGTGCAGGTCAAACCAACCCTTATCACGCATTTCACCCCCTACTGCATCAGGGACTAGGATTGGTGAGTCGTGGTAATAGTAGGAGTTGTAGATACTGTGGAGGTGGTTCTGACGAGCTCAAGATCGTCGGATCTGGTTGGGTGGTTGAGGAGATATGACCTTTTCTTTATTTTCCTTATTATTTTCATTCATTCACACATGTGACTTTCCTTTTATATTTGTATCGGACTCTTCCGTGACAACTGTACAGACAGTTAGTTAGAGGTTAGACAGAGTATCAGCACCGTACTCGCAGGACCCACATCTACCCTAGAGATAGAGAGAGCCCTACCCCCCCAGACCTGAGTCGCGAGTCTAGTTGGATAGACCCGTTACAACGTCATCCCAGATGACTCTTTTCCTTTTCCCCCCTCATCTCTGGGCTCGTCATGTCACGGTGGTTCACTCCCCTACACGTTCTTGGTTTTTGCACAAGTTACGTACCTTGGAGTTCGCTGGCCAACTTGTTTCGCTTAAGAGGAGCATCTAATTTTGGCAGCTCTCGGGGTTGTTCCCGATTCGAGAATTCAAGCACTGGGTCATTGGTCTTCTGAAGCTTGGCAGATTGGCAGATTAAAGAACCCAGTTGTTATGTATTCGTACGCCTGCTTCGACGTCGATTTTTGATATTCTCCAAACTCTGTTGAGCTCCCTCCTTTTCCCCTTGGATTGGGGACTATGGCCCAATAGATGTCTAAGCTTTCTGAGGTGTGGCCATGGGCATACCTGTAGTGCGTGCTCCCTGGTCTGTGTGGTCGCACCACATGTGCACCCATATATGCGGATACCGAAGCGGTGGTAGTATTCGCCGATGTGGCGAAACTGGGTACTGGGTGACTCCTCTAAATGTTTTGCGGTCCAGGGTTTTAAACCTGGCGGTTGGATCGAGCGGTGGGGGGATGTGGTTTGCGACATAGAAGCCGCAGGGCTGCCGTTGAGGCCATTGGAACAGCATGCATTTACCATTGTTTACATCGAGTCAAAATCTTACTGCCAAACGTAGTTTTTACCAGAGCGACTGGATATACTGTACTCACACAACCAACTACCAGTTGCATCCGGAGCGTGACAAAAAGTATTGAACCGGCAGCTCAGACTGATGCGTGACACCCAACTGGTGAGCCTACCATAAAAGGAAGGCAATACTATCAGAAATTGATCACGTTAAGAACTAAATTTGAAAATATGTTCGCTTGTCTTTCTGAAAAATTTCCTGCACTTGGCTACCCCATAATGGATGGCTTTGCACTTGCACGGCAAATTTGTTCTCACACAGATGAACCTATCTCATACAGAAATATTCCAAGGGCTCTCATTGGATCCTACTTTCCTAGTGAAGCCCTATCCGTGACTGAGTTCCTCGATTTTAAACTTCCATCCCTCCAAACATCTTTGGACATATCTGTGTGTCTCAGCCACCACCCACCCTCGGTCAAGGAACTGGCTGAAAATGATCTCCGCAGCATGCACTGGCCCCCCCGTCCCACAATTAAGAAACTCATTTCCGAATATGAATCTGACTACAATAACCCTCCTCATTCGGTTAAAATTGGCGTGCGCTACATTCCCACTAACATCCTCCAAATCTGGGAAACCCTATTTTGCCTACAGAACCTGCAGGAGGTGTGGGAGGAATCCAAGGTGCAAGTTGGGAAATTAGCGAACCTTTACCCGGCACAGCATGCTGCTATCATAGCAGCCCAGAGATGACTCCTGTCTTGCAAATGGAATGCCAAAGTCCTCGGATTCTCAAAATTAGTTTCTAGTTCTATTGGGGGGCTCACACGTTACCTCTCCCTTTCCTGCCTTGTGACCACAGACATTATGTTCCACACCGAACTCCTGAAAAATGTGCTGGTGGCTGGGAATGTAAGCGCGAGGATTTTGAGCCCCTTAGACATTCAGTACCTGACTGGGTGTGCAATGCAATCAGATGGGGATGGGTTGGGAAGATATAGGGATGATCTTACCTTCAAAACTCTCCGTGGGTTTGGGGCCGAGCTCAAATCCGGATCTGTATCTCAATTTGGGGGTATCATGCTCGTTAATAATAACCACTGGATGGCGTTCTCAATTTCTCCCATTGAATCAACAATTTACCTTGGTGATTCCTTATGCCCAACGGGGGACGTGCAATCAGCTGCAGCAAAGGAAGCGATTATGGTCCTTCAATGGTGGCTCAATGCATCCTACTCCAGATCAGATCGATCATTCCACATTGCATGGCTACCGATTGCGTACCAAAATGATGCCTCATCGTGTGGCTTCTTTGCTCTTGATGCACTGATGCATCACCTTATCCCAACCGAACACCCGCTCCACACTGGCAATGACACAGCGACACTTCATGTCAAACTTCTGATGTCGATTCTTGACTGTCACAGCACGCAAGTAAGTAAGTAGAATGTGGCCAAGGTAATGAAAAATCTCACTGCCCTGCAATCAGACAGTCCCAGCGCTCGTCCCTGTGACAGTGGTTGACCCAGTGGAAGTGACCCCAGAAATGACAGTCAGACAATCAATGGCATCAGCGATAACGAACCCGGTACCTACGATATTCCCAGCAGCAGCAGCTAACCCAGCGACAATCCTAGCAATGATGACATCGTCAAACCAAGTGGCACCGGAAATGACGATCAGACAATCGATGGCATCAGTTGAAGCAATAACAATGCCGACACCTACAATATTCCCAGTAGCAGCAGCTAACCTGGCAACGATGATCCCAGCAATGAAGACATCGTCAAACCAAGTGGCTCCGGAAATGATGATCGGACAATCAACAGCGTTAGTTGAAGCAACGATGACCCCAGCAATGATGATGTTGCCAGACCAAGCAGCACCAATGCTCCCATTGGCAGACCTTGGATCGAACCCCAATAGCGGAGGACTAAGGGGAGAAAGGAAAAAGCTGGACCTCACCTTTTGGGAGGAAGATAAGGGACATGGGATACTGAAATTCTTCTCCCGTGTCAGTCGCAAGGAATTTGAGCAACAGACATTGATGCAGTTTGAGAAGATCACGGAGAGACATGAAGATGCACAGATGGAAGAGCAGCTGGTGTCCAGGGTTAAGGCAGAGAAGAGCCGAGCATTAGCTCGAGAACGACAGCAGCGGCACCGAGCAAAGTTGGCAGTGGTGAACGGGACTGAAGTGGGGGAAAAGGTGAACAAAGTGACTTCATCGGGACGAAAATGGTTTTGACTGAAAGTGATATCCAGGGCCTGGATGGTGCGGACACGAATGCTAGTGTTCCAGGCATGTTGGTTCCAACAGCAGAGATATCACGGCCAAAACGTCAGATTGAAGAATTCTTGAGAAAAAAAAGCGCCAAAAGACTGCCCACTGCTCAAGCAACGTTATCCAGCCTCCTAGGATGAAGGTCCGAAAGTTTGCACGTGCGACAAACTGGTTCCAGCCCATCTTTTGGGTTGTGATAACCGAAGTGGCGGCGACTGTCGGCTGGAGCATGAGCCCCACTGAAATTGTGAAGGGGTGTCAAACAAGAAGCCAGAAACTCTTCCAATCACTCTGGGCTGATGTTGTTCGTAAATGGATTGACCGCACAGGGTCACGTCCATGTTGGTCTGAGGAGACACTTGCAAAGGTCGCGAAAGAGAGTTGTCCTGGGGGGAACATTACAAGGAAGGGCATATTAGTGAGTTAAGTATTAATTAGAATCATATTGAGGACTTATCAAACGATAGGCATCCTATCCTGAGACCATAGAGGCAATCAAACAAACACTCCTTAGCATTCGACAAGCTGGCGCCGCACTGGATGCTCACCAAATTCGTGGTGTCATCATTGCGCAGATTCAGCATAGCCGGCCCAGCATCCTAAGGACAGTTGTGAGAAAAGATGGAAGCATCTTTGCAGCGAGTATGGGCTGGGTTCGAAAGTTTCTCAAAGAGGAGATGAAGTGGAGCTTGCGTCGAGCGACACATGCCTCCCAAAAGATCCCTCCCAATGCCGATGATAAAATTTATTCTTCATTGCTTCGCCAAGCATACTCCATCCGTCGATACATGATTCCTGATAGCCTCCGGGTGAACTCAGACCAGACTCAAGTAATCTACCAACAAAATTCGACCTCTACATATGAAAAGAAAGGATCACGCCAGGTTTCCACTGTCAGCCATGATGAAAAGCATGCTTTTACTCTTAATGTGGCCATTTCTGCGAATGGGGGTCTTTTGCCATTCCAGGCCATCTTCCGAGGCAAAACCCCAGCAAGTCTCCCCTCAATAAATGCCCCAAATTATGATGACACAAAGCGGCTCGGCTTTCTTTTCGAGATCTCTGGCAATGACACCTATTGGGCTAATATTGGAACAATGCAATCATTTGTAAAAACAATTCTGGTCCCTTATTTCAACGCTGAAAAGGGCCGACTCTCCCTTTGTTGGAGGAACCGTGTGCTATGGGAGGCCGGACGAGTTTTCGTACAGCCACATTCCCACATCCGGGTGAGGAACTCGCCCGGACAGCCACATTCCCGCGGTAGCGTGACTACTTAGTCACAACACCTTTTCTCTTTTATATTATTTCGGACTAATCCGTGCCAGGCCACGGACATATTCATTCATTTGAATTCATTTCCTTTTCCCTCAGTTCTTCACGCATATTGGCTGAGACTGAGGTTAGTTAGTTACATTCCCTCATTGCTTTATCATTGTAACTTATATTATGTATATTACCTCTAGTCATTACTCATAGGTAATATATCTAGTTCTTCACGCATATTGGCTGAGACTGAGTCATTACTCATAGTCCAGCTCTGAGATCACAAGTGTCGCTCATCAACACCCTTGACCCGCTTCAAGAATGTATTTGGCAGCTTGATGTGTGGCCAGTTCACACGTCTCATGAATTTCGACTCTGGTTGCACCAAAACTATCCTTGGATTATACTCGACTACATCCCTGGAGGGTGTACTGGACTCTGGCAACCCTGTGATGTCGGAATCCAGCGCCCATTAAAACATTCCATAAAGCAGTCTCAGCAGGCAGCTGCTGTACAGGAGGTTTATGCGCAGCTACGAAATGGGGTTGACTCATCCAATATAATACTCAACACCAAGCTGGGAACACTGAGAGACCGTGTTCCTCAAACATTAGTTCATGCTTTCCAGACTATGAATCGGTGTGATAGAATTCAAAAGGTGAGTAATTGGAACGCGAAATTTTCATTCCCATGGGCACACGTACTAATAAATTCTAGGCCTTTGAACTATGCCGCTCGGGTAATTTCAATCTATCTCACTCAAGTCTAACCAGCCGCCCACTCCGCTTGATTCTTGATTCCCTTCACCAACACAATCCTGACTTGGCCGAAGAAATAACCGCCCCACGAAAGCAACCACAGGACAATCATAATACTCACCCACACTCAAGTTCTACCCTACACGAAGAGGAGTTCACAAATACCCCAGAAGATGATGTCGATGTGACAGTAGAAGAAGTTTTCGGGCATATGATAGTTGTGTGGCGCCTGGTGGGCTTGAAGCAGTCAATGGAGCGTTACAAGTTGCATCAACTTGTGCTGAGGATGCCGAGCCTGATACCCTTGATGAAGCCCCCTTGGTTTCCTCAAGCCCTCAGAGCTGTGACCTTGGCCGTGGAATGCGGGTCAGACGGGTGCGCCATTTGGACACGGAAATGGCCATTTTTCGTTTTTGAATGTATTTACTCCCGAAAAAGGGAATTTTGAATTACAAATTGCACAGCCACATTGAAACCCAGTTTACAGCGTGACACACCCCATCCAACCTTTTCCCCAGCGTGACGCGTGACAAAACCTTGGTTTGAACCGGACCTCGAGACTAGCGTGACGCGTGACAGGTTGTTGGTCATGTTAGTACAGTGTGGGGGGCCCCATTCCATTGGTCCCCGTAATAACTCTTGGTTGTCTCAAGCAGGGGTCGAATTTCAACACTGCGTGGCCGGCATTCTTAGATCGCTCAGAATCAAGCCGCGTATATGTTGCACTTACGTATGAGCGACCCTACTGTTCAAAGCGCTCAGACTTACTACGGCACGGAAGGTGGGATCACTTGTGCCCAGCTAGTTGGGGAGCATTCTCATAAGTGATTGCAACGTCCCCAGAGCGCTCGACACTCATTCAACTGCAATGTGAATGCTCACCATGACAAGAGCACCCAGTCTAGAGCTCGGATGGGGAGCCCCCAATGACTTTCTACAGTCATTGGAAATTGTTGCGTCGCTTACATCAAACACGCATTCTGAGGTAAAATGGGACTGAACGGCCACCAGTTCTTACACCTGACTTTAAATGGATGAAAGTCATGGTGCCAAGGTTCCTGCGGTTCAATCCAAGTTTGTTTACGCGCCGGGTCCCTTTCCGGACTCTGAATAGGAATAGTGATGATGACGTGATGATGACGTTTTCTATGAACCGAACAACGTACTCGGAGTAACTTGGCTCACCTGTATTTATTATGGGCACGATGGCCTTGCAATCGGCATCTCTGGCCGTCAGTTTCGTGGTGAAGGCATCTGAACCTCGACACCATTACACCGACCGGAGTAGTGCATTTCCTCTTTGTTGTATGCATTTTCAGGCTCCATAGATACCTCGCCCTTGTTAAGAGCTGTAAGTGTCAATCGGGAATTCAGAACACAAATAGAAGCGTCATTGGAGCGCTATTCACTGGAATTCTCACACTGTAACCCTAACACCTCGCCTCTGTGACTGGCATAACAATGATCTCTTCAACCTTTCACTTCTTTGTAACATCGTCATCACTCGATCTATTGTGAATTCGACAGTGGTCTAGACCTTTTATTCAAATAATATGTGAGAGACCTCTCTAGAACTTGTGCACCAAGGAGGAAGGAGGGTATCGCGGAGTTGTTTAAGAGGATGTAAGTTCCGTTTTCTTTTTTTTTTCCGTTCGTGATTGGAGCCACTTGCTAATCCACATACCATTCGTTCCCAATCACTCCACCATATATCTGTCCCTCCAAACGAAATGGGGCACTTGCGCTTTTGAAACACAATAAGGCGCCCGCGTCCCCTTCAACTCCACGGGGGAGCCCATACGGAAGATATCCGATTCACTATTCGTAACCCGAGGCATCATTGTTGGAGCTTGGGTTCTCGTTGGGAGCGAATGTATTGTCGTTGTATGTTGAGGAAGGGGGGCGATAAGTGTGCGTTGTCGAGTATTTGCGTTTTTGGGAATGTAAGTAACCATTCTACCGCACCGTTCCCCGGAAAACTCGACTTTTCATTTCATTCTTTCATTCCTCCCATTCTAGCCATGGAACGAGCCCCAACAATGGCTATTTCGAAAAGTGATCCTGTACCGCGACATCTAGTGGGCGGACACCTCTTCCTCCGAGGTAGTAGAGGCTGGGATCCTGCCTACCTCCGAGGCCACCTCGAAACTCTTTCCAAGTTGGCACCCACTCTGAGAGATTTCGATCATCGCGTCACGCGATTCATAGGAGGAATCCCTTTCGCATCAGCCAATCACTATTATGCCAGTTCTACAACTCATAAGAGGACTCGTTTCTCGGCGTTCAACGTGGGGGGACGATAGAAAATCCTATAAAGGAGATCGAAAGCGATGGGAAATTTGGCTGTCAACGTGGTCACGCCTTATGGTAGGCATTTGGGGTGAGGAAGGGATTGCGAGCGGGTTGGCTAAGGGTGGTGTTGGCAAAGGGGCGGAAGAGAGGGGGTCGGTGAAGAATGAAAGAGGGTTGGAAGGGGGTGATGTCGTTGTAAGTTGCTCGTGAAGATTGACGAGGCTAGGGAGCCAGTTCGAAGCTGCTGGCAGTGCGGCTTGATCGAGGATCCTTTGCGCGTTGCAACATTCTCTTCTGTGTCCAATGCTTGGCATCTGGCTGCTTTTCCTTAAGAGACTTTTCTCTTTCGTGTTGGTCTTTATGACTGACGCGCACTCACGTATCCGTAATTAGTTAGTTCAACAACGTTTGATACTGAGAGTAACACGCTAGCATAAATTCGCTACCTTTCTATGTATTACGGCAACCCACACTGTAGGATTGCTGCGGGACCCTTGGTGTACATGCCAGTGCGCTACACAGTATGCACGCGTGTGACAGTGAGACTGCACCGATCGGATGTGGGGTTCCGCTGGCCAGGAGGCTCTAACATGACCTTCATGACGCAGGCTCATTCGATGGTATAAGTATACGCCTAGCTGCGAATTTGCAAGCTGGATAATTATATACATGATGGTGCATATTCCGTCAAAACTCCTCTGGCTGAACGAATGCTCCATTAACAATTCGTCCAAGATGAGTAGAGGCATAGGACGTTCCTTGAGCGTGGCGTGTTAGCGTGGGTACTTCGAGCTGCTAGAATCAGATGGAACAACTCACCGTTCCTCCGGAGACTCGTTAGCTTGCGGATGAAAGGCAAGGGACTAATATCAAAGGGGCAGACCAAGCTCATTTCCCGAGTACGCTTCCTGGGTAGGACAAAACCATCACTTTGTGTTTCTACTTCGTTCCTCCCATCATGACTGGTGTTGACGCCCAGAAAATTGCAAAGTTCGAGATACGTTTCGAAGTTGTTGATGTACATCTGGCCTGAGAATATATTGAGCTGCGAGACTGTGAGCCTCTCCGGGTAGGTCCACGTCGTCGGTAAGGACGGAATTGTGTAAAATTTGAGATCATCGAGGGACCTCATCGGCTGACTTGTTCTTGGAGAGTACACGTGCAACCTGACGTTGCCGCTGCGACGAATTTCTGGGAGCAACTCATTCACCTCAAAAGGACTGCACACCACGAGCATCGATCCGCGAATGCTAGACAGTATCCAGTTCACAGGCCGAAGAAACTCGATGCCTTTGTGTGCACTCGAACCTTTGATTGTGGTGACGAAGTCGCTGGTTGCAAGAAGGTTGCGTGACCACTTGGTGTCTTGCTGAGACCGAGGGAGGATTGTGATTGAAGAAAAGAGCGAGACGAAAGCAGGAGAAGATGGTGGTATTTGACCATCGTGCACAAATGATTCGACATCAGGATGGAGGTGATGGCGAGCAGGTCGTAAAGGTGGTAGTGACTCCTCGTCCTCCGGCTCGCGCCTAGACTCGTGGACTACTTCACGTTCCTGCTCTTCTGCCATTTTCACCAGCCAACTCATTGTGGAGGATGAGAAAATCTCACTCCTCTGCTTGATCTCGCGACAATCGGCTGCCGGATGGGGCGGTTCCTGTTCCAGTGGCCCGGAGGACGGTGGTGCCCCATACATTTCCTCGAGAGACTTCAACTCGGGTTTCAACCAATATTTTTCTAACACTGAGGTGCGACGGATGTAGGACGTCCAAAACTCTTCCCATGCGCATTGCCTGTCGATGTAATGGATGCCTTGCTCTCTCCAATCACAACTGTAACGCCTTAGGCTGGCACACGTCTCCCTGATGGACCAGGAAAGAATGTCGTATACACCAATTCGTTCTCCACGAAACTTTTTGGAGAGCTTGCGGATTTTGCGATCCACATCGGGAGGGGCGAGAAATAAGACAGATTGTCCCTTACCTAACCTGCGCATTCGCATACATCCTGAAGACAAACCTACTGATTCGATCATATCCTAATAGGAACAGGAGGGCTTACCTTGAACTAGTCTATCCTTTGTCACTTTCGGACCTAATGTAACTGCCGTACGATAATTGGCGGGCAACTTCAAATCGGTGCCTCTTGTGTGGGAATCATCCAGGTACGCGATACAGCGATCAAGCTGGTGTCTGTATGACGATGAGATGAACGGTTCTGTTACTCCATCACGCCTAATAACGAAGATTTCGTCATCTTCGGAAAAGAAGATCGTAGCATCTATATCTACTGCCGAGACTTGCGAAAGCCATATCGATGCCAATTCCTTATTGGAGTACTCCAACATCTGAGCGCCCACATCCAACAACACTCGGATTTGAGGAGTCTCCTTGACGATGAGGTCCAGAAACGTGCTGCTCGCCGCACTTTGATAGTGATCGTTCTCAGGTCGCAGCATTAAATTCAACACCTTGGCATTCGTACCCAATTGCGCAGGGACGTCGTCCTGTTGAATAGAAGTGGGGAGAAGATAGCGGTTGTCATTGGTGCCACTAAAACCTGTCGTTACGTGTTGCCTTCGTTCGGCGATGTCCCAACCGGATGCGGAGAGTTTTTGAGGAAATGTCTTGGCTTCTTTCGGAAAAACAACCTGACAGAGGAAGAAGTTGATCGTCGACGGGTTCCTTTCGAAAGCTGGATAGAGATGCTGGATCCTTTGTTCGCGGTCATCCGGGTTGAAAGTATTGTAATTGCGCAGAAAGTCTGGCACTAAGCAATTATCCTTAATCAACTTGCGATATTCCACTACAGGGTCTTCTAGTTGGTTGATATGCTCGAAGCACATATCAAGCTGATCGTGAGACAATCCGCCATAGTAGTAGCTGAGGTATGTTAGCGAAATACAAACGTCCGGGTGACTGAACTCTGCTCTCAGTGCAGGCACATCTTTTGCACGATAGGGCACTGCGAGACGTGACCGTGTTAGGTCAAGCCCATAGTCTACTCGCCACCTACGTTCACTGAGAACGTACATAAGTATCCCATGCGCAAAAAGACCTCTCAGCAGGAGTAAAACGCTCCACAGATGGTGGTCACTGCGGCAGTGATTTCGCAATCCATGAAGTTTTCCGGGATTCCTTTGGGCGATGAAAGCCTCTGCTTCTCGTCGCACCTCTCCGTGGAATAGCCGAAACGAAGGTAGATCAGGAGACTCCCCTTGCGTTATTTCACGTAAGAGAGATTTCAAAATTTGAACGCCAGCCTCGTGTTTGAGAATGCGAAGTCGAGGGAAACACCCGTCTCGTTGCTCGAGCTCGAGATCCCCTTGAGAAGCCAGCTGATGAAGGAGCCGACCGCTACTACGCAGGATAGCAAACACATGCTGCACCATAGTCCATCTGATAGGATGAGGATCTAGGGGCTGCTGAGTGCCAATTGTGTACACAAGTTGACACTTGACCGCCAGAATCTCGTCACTCTCGTCCAAAATGTCCCTAACGTTTGCGTCCAGCCATCGCTGTAACCCTAACAGTGCACTTGTCCCGGGCGTTGAAAGCCGTCGTTCAATGCTCGTGAGTTTAAAAGACAGGACGTGTTCAGGCTGCATAACCAGTATACCACCACCATCCATGCATTCATGACAGATCCTTCGAAAAACATCCGAATCCGTTGTGATGGCACGGGAGAACGGCATGCAATATATTTGCCGATTCGCTAAGCCACTCAGGCGTCGGACCAGAGACTGGAACGTTTGATTTGCTAAGGGCTTTGGCACGATGACTCTGACTAGTTTTCGTCCATCTGCTAGAGATATGGCAATAAGCGGAACAATAACGGACGTTTTTCCCTCCCCCATATTGAGTTGAAGGATGATATTGTCTTGTGAGCGAGGAAACATCATGTTACGCGCAACATCAACTTGAAGAGGGCGTGCAAGAAAGTTGGAGTCAATCTGAGGATCTCAGAGAGTTAATTCCGTCCGTGCCGACAAATGATACGCTCACCTGGACAAGCAGCCAGTCGTCAGAGATGTCATGCAGATCAGGATAACTCGAACATTCCTTCAGAAACTCATCGGATTTGGGTCCTAATCTCAGCAATCTCTCCGATCGCTGCCAGAGAAGTATGGACTGGGCGAGGCAAACGAGAACATTCCTCCATTCGGGGGATAAGTTTACTGTTGAACGCGCTGAGAATGATAAGTGGTGCAGCAAAGAACGAGTGGTGCTCTTCGGCCATAGTCCTGCAACCCGCATAACTTCCTGTACTCGCTCTGACTGAGGAGGATCCGGGTTGAGCGCCCTTCCGACTTGCCCTAACACATGAGCGAGATGCGATCGGTACATCCGGTGATCGCGATAAAGCTCTTCTTGGAGAGATTCCACCCGCTCCACGCTGGTTTGTATGTTGTCATGCAATGCATTGCGGCTAGCCTCAAGATCAGCCCTATATTTCTGGGATATCGGATCGTGGGATGAACGGAGAGTCGAAATGAGAGCTTTGAGATTACTGCGTTCCGAAGACGATTTGATGGTCAACCATCTTTTCGTTTCCAGAGGGGTTGGCGTACATGCAAGAATCGGAGGTTGTCGGAGAAAGACGTCACTGTACGATACGATGGACGGTTCCACTAATCCGAGTCGTAAGGATGTCGGAAACGAATATATCGGTAGAACCGGAGCATCTGAAGTCCAAGTCCGGTGTTTGTCCAATACCCTCTGGACTACCCGAATGTGCTGGCGAAAATCCCGGTTTCTCAAACAGGATTCAAACAACTTAGTCGCCTCGGCCATAGCAAAAGAGGTGCTGATCAGCCACACATCGCCATCCGGCAGGCTTGGTAATGTTGGGGCTCTTGTGGGTTCATTATTCCATTGAGCAATCAAGTTTTTGAGAAGAAAAGAAACCTGAAAAGATGTCTGGGGAAAAAATTTGCGTGGAAGGGACCCCGTAATGGCACTTTTGAGTTCGGATGCATCTGGTTTATAGCCCACGCTCAAATCGTATCGGGGCCACGGTGGCGGATCAATGGAACGAAACTCGGGGTAGCGTATGAATGCAAGTAAGGCAGGGACCAAATCCCCGTATTGAGTAAAGGCGACGGGCGCCGGAAGACTAAACATCAATTTGAAACGAGTACGGTTTCCCCATTCCTCTGTTCGACACGCATTGTACAAAGGTATCCATTTGTCCATGTTCAAACGCAGCCATTCCTTGCTGAATGCCAAACGCATATTCGACAAATGATTGGGGGATGAACCTTGAATCTCCCGCCACCGTCCAAGGCGAGACAAGCGAGACAAAAGGTCTTTGGGTGTCTTTAGCCGACGAGGACAATGGTATACCAGACTAGAGACATTGGATGCGGCACGAATACGGGTAGCATCGAGTCCTTTGTCAGATTCATGAATCGCGTCCCTGGGTTCACGTATCACGTCCCTGGATTTATATATCACGTCCACACCCCGCATAGCCCATGGAAGATCAGGACCGTACCAGACTGCATTGCAACATCCAGCACGGGAGAGCAGACGCAGTTCTCCCCAATGACGTTCCGATCCTCCGAAACGTACAGAAGGGTCAACGACACTCATTTCATCGATCCATTTGAAAATAGATCGGGTCTCATCCCAAAAGGCACAGTGTTGGACAAGCGGACTAAGCGCTTCATTCCAAACGACTTCTCCAATACCACGCTCCCAAAGCTTTCTCAAATCGAATTCTCGTTCCCGCTCTCGTTCCCGTTCCCATCCCCATTCTCGTTCCTGTTTCCGTTTCCGTTTCTGTTCCTGTTCCCATTCCCATTCCCATTCCCATTGCCGTTCCTGTTCCTGTTCCCGTTCTCGTTCTCGTTCCTGTTCTCGTTCTCGTTCCCGTTTCCGTTTCCATAGCTCGCGCCGTCCACCTGGCCACCCACCAAGCGGTTCATCGGGCAGTTCATCGGGCAGTTCCCCAGTCCTTGATGGTGTTAACGCCGACAACTGACGCAGAAGCTGCCGCTCCCAGTCACCAAGACTTTGGAACGATTTGCAACGCGCTGATCGAAGGATTTGGATCGCTTCCTCGACTCCTGACAATGACGTGAGAGGATCGGGCAAGCAATAACTAGTGACAGCATGAAGAAGTGACTGGAATAATGCGCTGGGCAAACTTCCGTCTCCAACCAGCCGGCCCAGTAAGACATCAATGTCATAATCACAATATTTGACGTGTGACGATTCCGAGTCATCAATCGTAACAGTGACGTGGTCACCGTCACTTGCGATAGACACATCCCCCGTCGGGATTATGACGCGTCTCGAATAATTAAGCTCCACACCAGGAACGAGATCTCCGCTGTGACGCAAGACCAACTGACTGCGGAGGCCCAGCATTGTGCCTATTGATTGGTTACTATCTACTTCGAAACCCGGAAAGTTCATTGAATGAAGCTTCCCACCCTTCAGGGCGAAGGAGAGCTGGATTCGGGGAAGAACAACGCGCAATTCTTGCATCGACGACCTTGCCATTGTGATAAGAATGTTATTTTCAGGTTCAAGTGGACGAAGGATAGCATGAATCATCTCCCCTGTGCGGCTTTGACAGTCAACTAGTCTGACAGATGACCCTTTATCCATGACCCATGTGGAGCATGCAGTACGACGGAGGTGCCAGTTCGATTGGGAGGATGTCCAGGGTGCCTTCTTAGGCCGCAGCTCAATCTGACAAGTAGATAACTCCATCCAATGAAAATATTCCTTCACTAAGATAGATGGCAGATCCCCTTGAAAGATTTCACACGGTAACAATTCCAAGACCCGACAGCTTTTCCCATCAAGCGCAAGGGATCTGGTTCGTACAATGAGCCTTCCATCTCGCCACCCAAAGTGAATTGTCTGTTTAATGGTGAGAATTAGTCAAGCCCATTTCCTTCATCTCCCTCGACGAACCTCATCAATATCCTTGGTTTCGAGCTGAGACTCATAGAACATGTGAGCCTTGCTAACATAGTCCATGTCTTCCATATCCGATGGAACAACTTCCGGGCTTCTCTGCAGACGAACCGTTAATCGGCGGGTCTTACTATGGGTAGAGAATAGTCCCGTACTGCACCAAAGAGTTCTTTGTATATCGAATGCCCACGAATGTCAGATGGCAACCAACCGGGTGGTTTCCCATCAATGAGCAAAGCGCCACTTAATACGTTGAAATGAACGTTTTGTGTCCTTTGACCATTTACGGTAGTGGTCAACCAACGGTCGTTAGGTCTTGGTAGCCTTGTCCAGCAACATGTTGGATCGATACCACTCCAAACAGCTGATATTGCTTTGTTAATGCCTAGCATGGTCCCCCTTTCCTGGATGCGGGTAATAAGAAGCGCTTCCATCCTGCAGGACACGCGCTTGTCTCGGAGAAGCAACTGATGCAAATGAGGGTCTGCATCAGTGAGGGGAGAATGACTACAAAGGATGATAGCACATTCGATGAATTTGGCGACATCTTCCGGAGTTCGAAGCAGTGATTTAGCATGGGGCGCATCGACATCAAATGAACTCCTACAAATCGCGGCTATTTGACATATTGCTCCTTGATATCTGTCTCGTTCGGTTTCAGTTTCGGCGTGTGATTGAAGTACCAAAAGTTCGTGCAACCAGCGCAGAGTGATGTCTCGCATCTTCTGGAGTAGTGTGTACGTTTTGTTGATGATCGGTGGTGCCACAGCCGAGGCCAGCAATCGAGAAGCCAGTGTAGTGACAGTCAGTGCTGTGATACCCTGGCGCCAGTTCCCCTCTATATCCGTCCCCAGCTGTTCAAGGACGTCCAATAACACATTACCGAATGAGACCTCTTGTAAAACCTGGTGACATTCCCAAACGCCATCGCTGGAAAGGCATCCGACTTGGCACACAGCCTGAGAGATCAGGTCATGCACCTCCTCACACTGAAAACTCAAATTTTCGGAGGGAATTTCTCGGGCAATATTGTACCACTGTAACCGGGCTCCAGCGCGTAACGAACCGAAGGCAACGAAACTGCGTAGGCTAAGCGAAGAGGGACATTCATGTTGGCTTGCAAGAACTTCGTTCGAGGTGTGGGATGTTCCCAACGCAAAGCATTCCAAGGATGCATATGGAGACTGTCTCGGTATCCGCATGGACATTCTGTGACTCAGACCGCAGTCACCAGATGGAGAATATATCCATCTGCGATGGCTAATGTCCCACAGCCGACATGAAGATGTATACGTGCGAGAGACACCTTCCTTGTCTGGGATTTCTACCTCCGGTGCCAACGATATTCGTTGAGAATTTGGGACGCGACGTTCTGTACCCAAAGGGGACTCCTGTGTGCATGAGCGGATATACGATTCCCTCGTCGTAAGTGTCCTTCCTTCCTTCGACGTACAGATGTCACGGAGAAGCCAATAAGTTGTCTCCCTCCAAGCCTTGAAAATCCTAGGAACTGCTTGCTCAAAAACAATGGTTTTTGCTCGCACTGGTTCTTTTGGTAGAGGCCATTCGCGAATAACTGTCCTCAGGACTCTTGCCCGCCATTTGACACGGCATTCTCCACAAGATTCCAGGTTGTGCCCGGGTTTCATGCGATCCACAGTGTGAAAGCCTAATGATCCAATTTAGTCCCTGATTATGAACACATTTGCCTTCTTCAAGGTCGTACCTGCCCATTTCACCGTTTCCCTATATTCTAGATTTAGCAAGCGAAGCTCTTGAAGTTTTTCGCTCGTCCCCGCTTGTTCCTCTATGGTGCGCTTAAGGCTCTGAAGTGATGGAGACGACTCGAAAAATCTGACTGCGAAAGTTTCCTCATCGACAGTTTCTGAAAAAACTGATCGAGGGGTACTACCAGCTTCGTGATAGCGCTTGCGCAGGTAGGTCTGGATCTTCGAGATGCGTTCCAACGACTCGGATTTCGAGAGCAGGAGGTCCTCATATAGAGTCAGTGGAACCTCGGGTGAATAATCCTTCAGGAGGGGACAACTAGTTGTTGCCAAAATGTCGAGTGCCATCCACAACTCAAAAAGCGTGAGGAGCATAATGGATTGGTCTGCTAGTGCCCCATACAGTTTCTCGGCCTCTTCGGCATATGTCGTCATGTAATGAGGGATTAAATCGCAAGCACTTTCGCAGTTCTGGTCGGATATTTGCCGAGATACCCATTCGTCAATGCGATCTTTTACGCAACACTCAAAATCCCAAAGCGCAACAAACCCATTGACTTTTATTGCTGCCGAAAAACTGCCGGGTTCGTCGTCAAAGAGATCATTGAATGATCGTGGATGATGATGTGGTTGGAATGCAGCATCAGGATTGGCGGAAACCCCCGAGACGAGAGCGGCACTGATGTAAGATCTACAATTTTTCAAGTTGAGGCTAGTGTCCCCAATAACATCTAGCTCGTCTGGTGCCCACTTGGGTACCCGCATGTGCGCATCTTGAATGCTCTTCCATCGATCTTGGAGCAACCCTTCAATATCAAGCACCACCTCGTGGACAAATGTGATCAGAGACGGAGCTGCCCATGAGCGGATTTTAAAGAGTCGGCGGCTAAGTTTGGCCCGCATGCAATAAAGAATATGTCCCGGTAAATACTTCTCAACGCCGCTCCGCAGAATCTCGGCCAGAAGAAGTACCATAAAAGCCTTGTATTCCTTCATGTTCGAAGTGCCTCGATGAATCGTAGTCTGCAACGCGACGCGAACAACGAGCCAGAGGGAGCTGCGCCGCCATGGGACAGAAGCCGTTTTTCGCCGCAAAACATCGTCTGATGTTCTCTTCTGGACGCGAGGAATGTCGGCAGGCTCCCCTACTCCACGGAGTATCCCGGTCAGCAATTCGGTGACGTACATCGGATGAGGTGTGTCCTCGGAAGCCCATCGCCCCCGGGGCGCGAACGCGAATGAGCGGTTCCCGTGTTCCCCCGTATTCTGCGGTTGATCACTGTCCTTATGCTGCAGTGGATCGCCATCCATTGCGTCCTCATCCTGCAATGGATCACCGCCCATTGTGTCCCCATCCTGTAGTCGATCACTGCCCATTTCGTCCTCGTCCTCCCGTTGATCGCCGTCCATTCTGTTCTCCTCGTGCAAATGATCGCTGTCCACTGTGTCCTCATCTAGCGATTGATCGTCCATCATGGCCTCATTTTCCCGTCGATCACCATTCATCTCAGTTAGGAATGTAGACAATTCTTCTAGAAAATCCAGATCCTGCATAATGTTGTTTCGGATGGCAATTGCGGGCCCGGGAAAGGAGCGGACAAGCTTCCCTGTGCAATCCATCACGGCTCTGTTCGTTGGCGAAGCTTCGAAATTCTCGAATATTGTTTCCTCCTCACCACAACGGATGATCACACCCGCGTTTTGAGCACGAACGAAAATGGCGATGATGTCTGCATCCAGAGATATTACTACTACTATTCGGCTCTAGCCTGTATCTAGTGACATTACCTCCAGTGCTCCATCTTTTGATGCATTCGCTGATTCCAACCTCCGGGTCCATGTTGATTCGTTGCAACGTACCCACCATTTTCAATAATGAATCCCACAACGCTTGGTGCTCAGGTGCAGCATACTGCTTTCTGTAAAGCGTCATGCTCTTGCAGATGGTCGACAAAAGAAAATCTATGCGCTCCGGACTCTCATCCGCCTCTTGGGGCAACTTGGGCGGCATGAACACATGATTGATGACGAAGTCTAGAAGATCATCCCCCATCGCGGGCCCTGAGGCGTAATAATCGAGAAGCCTTTATGTTGAGACGTCGCAATGAAGAAAAGACAGCGAGAAGGGATAGTCAAAAATCAATCGATCGGAATACACCCCTCTAGTTCTCATCCCACATCAATATTGTCCCCATACCAAGGAGAATGCTCTCTGACATACCCGTGAAAACTTTGAATCACGGTTTCCTGCTAACCGTGCCGATGTCAGCCTGGGCCTGAGTATGATGTAGATCAGCTCGGTGAAGAGAGCTCGAGGCGTGTGTGTAGCTTGGTCAGTATAGTCGGGTCAGAGCTATTAAGGGGCATTCTTCAATGTAATTTGACCTGCCTGGTGGTTCTGTGGGAATCTATAGTATTCATTTGGCCTTGAGGACAGCGGAACCAGATAGGGAGTTCCATTTTTGGAGACTAGGTTATCAGAGGCATGTGGTGGCAGTGCGATTCGCCTGCACAGCCTTCATTTCCGAACCTGATTGTGCCACAACAAGCAACAAAGCAGCATGCATCCTGCCTCCACACACGTTTCGTCCTAGCCAGTCACAAATCCCATCCATCTCAGTGGACGATACCAAGTCGGGACTCCCAACCCTCTCAACGACCCATCAAATTCCACTCAATGGCAGGCTCAATCGAAGAGCATCCCTGATCATAGAGGTCCTTTTCTTCTATCTCTACTGCAGCGCTCAGGTAGGCAAGGGGTTCTCCATGTTGCGACGCCGCTACTAGCTCCGGTGTCCAGTTGCATCTTCGATCTTCCCTGGGATTCATGTGCACCCCCATCTACTTAATTAGGCCCCCAGGATTTCCAGAGCCGACCCTGGTCGAAGATTTCCTTGTCTATGTGAGAATGAACTTCTTGATCGAGCTGGGCTTTACTTAATAGCTTGATGGTGTCGACCCTTCATCCGCAGCGGTGCCGCCACTTCCCAGCCGACCAAGAAGCCGATTTTCCACGGCCTCGTCTCTTGCTGTGTTCGCTGCTATCCCAACCCTTCGTGCGTCATCGGCTACACATGTGGCAAACGGCACAGGAGCGCCCACTCCGAAGACTTGAACCCTCAGCCGTACAGGACTCGCTCTTCTACTTTAGTAGAGGTTGGGATCCTGCCTAACTCGCTCTGTGCGCCGCTGATCCCAATATTATGTCGATTGAACGTCATGGGGACCTTCATGGCGTGTCACATCGATTTCTTGTCCTTCACGTTACCCGGGCCTGTGGAAGAGATTTTTACATTCGCTTGGATCGAGACCCAGGGATGTCGAATGTGGTAGATACTGTGCGTTGTGGGATATACGGTCATTGCACGAGAGCTAAGGCGCACTGAATAGCTGGGGAACACGCCGCCTGAAGCGGCACTGCCCGCTTACTCTTCTCATGTTGTGTCCTTCACCATCAACGGCGCCGCCCTCAGTCGAGACCCCACCTGAGTTTCTCATTCCTCCACCAGTTGTTGTCCTTTCCCCCCCACGTTTCTCGCTTCGCAATCGCCCCGAGTCCCAGTCCGGATGCGAGAACATGGAAGGCCCACTTCTTCCGTCAGACTACTCCCCTCAGGTGCGTCATCATCTAGAGGTGGGAGAAATGAATCGCAGAATGCCCCCTCACCGCCGCCTGCTCGCTTACTATTCTCCAGAGAAGGAGACATCTTAGCCTTCTTGGTCTCCTTTGGAGCCGCAGCTCAGCTCTCCTTGAACATTGGGTGCAGAATTCACAAGTTGAAGGGCAGTTACGATTGTCGACATAAGTCCAGCCATGCTCAATTTCATGAATCTCGACCACGTCCTCTTGAGACGTACATGACAACTGAGGTCCAGTACAACGAAGAAAGCTGGCCACGCGCCTTCACAATGGTGGCCGAGACCATACGTGTTTTTCAGACAATTTAAAGCGTACAGTTGGTCCACAAACAATTTCTTCGCTTCGCCGTCGGGGGCATACCCAGTTGGATTTGGTACTTCGTGCCATTCACTTTGGTACCCTTGAATCGAACAATGCAAGAGGGGAGAGAGGACGAACGCCTTGTTCGCGCCACGCATTAAATGGCGCGGCACTCTGATTACCGTAAGGACCGACGTCGGTGATCACCCAAAAAAAAAAAAAACCGAATTCGGCCGGTGCGTTGCGATCACCATGCGTCATCCAAGTAGGCACTGCTGCACTGCGGTAAGTCACACCGTTGAACCGGGGTCAATGGAACCCAAGAAGTTAGCAGAGTCTGCGTGAGCGAGAACTTCACGAGCGACGATGGAAGCATCCATAACTAAAGGAGCGAGTACGTGTTCCTCACGCTCTTTTATTAGCGATCCCGGACTTGCGCGTGAAAAGTAGGAACGCCAGAAGTTTGAGCCCGAACCGCTGGGTTTACTATTGGCAAACATGAACCGCGACACGGATTCGAACATCCACTAGGTTATAGCGTGATAATGAGCGTCGGGTTGTACTCGAGACCCAGCTGACGTTGCCAAAGCTGACCACCGGATCCATGGTATATAGTACTGTTTTGGTTTAGTCATCTGCTTAATCCGGTTTCTATTTTTGAACGTCATCCCAGATGACTCTTTTCCTTTTCCCCCCTCATCTCTGGGTTCGTCATGTCACGGCGATTCACTCCCTACACGTACTTGGTTTTTGCGTACCTTGGAGTTTGCTGATCAACTCGTTTCGCTTAGGAGGAGCGTCTCAGCTCTCGGGTCGTTGGTCTTCTGAAGCTTGGCAAATTCATTTATATTGGCAAGAACCCTGTTGTTGTTATATATACTCGTACGTCTGCTTCGACGTCGACTTTTGATATTCTCCAAACTCCTTCAGATCGTTGAGCTCCCTCCTTTCCCCCTTGGATTGGGGACTACGGCCCAATGGATGTTTAAACTTTCTGAAGTGTGGGCATACCTGTAGTACTCGCGTGCTCCCTGGTCTGTGTGGTCGCACCCCTGCGCACCCCATCCCGTTGGTCCCCGTAATGACTCTTGATCCAAGCACGGGTCTAATTTTAACACTGCGTGGCCGGCATTCTTAAATCGCTCAGAATCGAGCTACCCATATGCCGCACTACGTATGGGCGATCCCTACTGTTCAAAGCGTTCAGACTTACTACAGCACGGAAGGTGAGATCACTTGTGCCCAGCTTGTTGGGGAGCATTCTCATAAGCGATTGCGAGGTCCCCGGAGCCGCGCTCGGCACTCATTCAACTGCGATGCGAATGCGGACCATGACAAGAGCACCATGGCAGTCTATATAGAGCTCGGATGGCGAGCCCTTAATGACTTTCTACAGCAATCAGAAAGTTCATTGGAAATTGTGGCGTCGCTTACAATCAAACATGGTAAAATGGGACTGAACCGCCACCAGTTCATACACCTGCCCTCGTTGCGCACTCACGATCAATGACTGACTTTAAATGGATGTTCCGGGAGAGGAGTTCAGGGGTGGCAAAAGGGTGCGCGTGGTCTCAAGCCGCACGGTTCCTGCGGCTTAATTCAAGTTTGAATTAGTATAAAGGGTCTCCTTCCGGACTCTGAATAGGAAGGGTGATGGTGATCTGTTGAAGAAGACATCACTATATACTGGCGGTTTCATGTGAAACAAACACATGAATGGGATCGGAAAGATGAACAATGGTCTCGTGCTGGGGCAACGCTCAGAAGCACTTAAAATACTCAGTATATGCGCTCTCGCGTATTGCATCGTTTGTGGACCAGCAAGCTCGACGAAACAATCGCGGCATTTCGCAATCATGTGTATCCAGCCAGTAGAAGAACAGCTAGTAACTTATGGCTGGGAGAGATGAAATGCGTTGTGTCTTTTTACTAGCGCAAGATAAACGTCGCCAGCAGTGATTTGCCCTCCGTAGATTTTTGCAGTGAACTCACGGATCGCGCGACCCTCAAATGCACGGGAGGTGGCAAGAAAATTGACGGAGTGTCCGTACCCTGGCCTGCGCATCCACATACGTACATCCTGACGAAATATATTTCTTCTTTCGATATGATTCGATCTCAACGGAAGGCTCACATGCACAACGCTTATAATTAGCGTCCCACTGACAATGTGTATATTGATTCTGGCTCGTCACTTCCACGTCTCCGATTGTTCATCAATCATTCCCAACTGCCCCGTCAATGGGTTTGGGTCTCTGATTTTACTAGGTTGCGCCGTGAACAAACGTTCATGTCAAGATGAACTGGCCATGGAGGTGACGTCGATCAGTCCGTCCGTCATCTGTATTGTTGCCGGGTTCTACACTGACCAGCGAGATCCAACGTAGTTCACCAGCCTTTATTTAACGGGAATAGAGTGGGGTCCTAACAATGCAAGAGCAAATCAAGGCGGTGATAACGTTGTGCTGTTGCGGACCCAAATATTACACATTGTGAAACACAAGCCCATCCAGATCGATGAATGCGATCATCCCTTCTTCTCCCCCCGACGCAAACACGGTTGCCATGTCGTGCGACAACGAGAACTGAGCGTGAAACCAACAGACGCAAGGGGTGAGAACGTGAGAACTGTTTGATGCGGAGAGCATTGCGGTCGGGATAAAACGGCGGCGGCGGAACTGGGTGGGAGATGATGGAATCGATCGATGGGATATATCATGTACAGATCCGGGGCCGCCAAATGGTTCACGGCTATCAAACCTTCATCAAGCCGTCTGTGGAAAATGGAAGTTGACGAGCCATCGGAGTCAGAATCGAGCCGTCTCTGTCCAATGAAATTCCCGTCCCAGCGACAGACGGTGCCATCTTGGGAGTGTGAGACCATATGACGACCATCCGTTGATGGACAAGACAGTATATCTCTTCAACCCTCGATTAGGGACTTTCTCCGCTAAACAACGGCGGTGGCATCGTCTAGGGCGGCGGTTGGATGTCAGCCATCTGATTCCGCAGGTTCTGGCGCCACCGGTCCGCTTTTTGAGGTCTCGATAAGCCGCACCTGTCGTGACCCTCCCAGACACGTAGGATACGGTTCCTCGAGACAGAGGTCAGATAGAGGCCATCTAAGAAAAATGTCACGGAAGAGATCGACTGGTATCACCCCGAAAAAGCCCCACAGCCGCCACATCCCAAACATGCACATGGTCATCGTGGGAAGCTAAATAACGGCTGTCTAGTGAAAACGTAATGGAAAAGACCTAATTGGCATGGCCGTTTCAGCGCTCGAATAATCCTTCCTGTCACCGTGTCAAGAACACGCACGGTACGATCATTTGAAGCTGACGGCTATTGGGTGAATATAACACAAACCTAACCCAATCTGTGTGTCCCTGCAGCATTTGAAGAGACGCCCCCATTGAAGGATCTCGAGTGCATACCGTGTGGTCACTGGAGACCGAGGCTAGATGGCTGCGATTCGGTGAAAAGGTCTCACAGAGAACGTTATTGGTGTGTCCCTTCGATTTTCGAAGGGATGCTGCATCGTAGATACGGACGGTGGGATCTCCAGAGGATGGGGCCAGGTGAAGACCATCAGAAGAATATGCGACGGACCGCACCAGGCCAGTGTGTTCCTCCAATTCTCCAAGTAGCGCTCCCGTCGCCACATTCACGATGCGCGAGGCATCTAAGGGGGCCGAGATTAGGTGACGACCATTCGGTGAAAGTACTAGGGAGAGGATCCCACTTGTTCAAATCTTCAGTACTTGCTACAAGAAACAAAGAATGCTCAGCTGATTGACTCACCTGGAGAAACTTCTCAAGATTATCCGTGCTCTTTGGACCCCATAGCATGCACGCAGATGTTCATTTGGTGCCCCGTGCAGCGTAGTAAGCAATCCTTGTGTGGATGAAAGGATTTGAGGTGCCCCGGGTGCACAAAAAATGTCATCACCCCACTTCAGGGTCAACTGAGATTAGCGATGATGCACATTCGACAAAGGAAGTGCCCTCGTACATAACTGTTTCTTATAGCGCTCAAGACACACTTGACAGCTTCTGGTATCCTTGAGTGTTCAATTAATATAGTAAATGTTGAAATCGACTCCGATCTAGAACAAATTTCATCCTGCACTGATATCACAACCTTGCGCATCAGCGTTGGAACTGGGATGAAAGATGTGCCAGGGTCGTTGCCAATTGGAACATAGATAATTGAAGGATTTCGGTTCTCCGGCGGATTTGGTCTCAGCTGGTGAAAAGATTAGACGATTGACCACTGCAGTTAGCACGATATACATGCCGACGATTCCAAAAGGTTCCTGACACTAGTTGTCAATGTGATGATCCCACCCACGTGGGGCACTCTGTTTTGCGAAGACATCCGAATGTTCTGCTCCCGAAATAGAAACATCCGACGCAACTCTCTGGGAACAGGATGTATTAGCAGTGGTTGTACGAGAACCACGGTTCACAATGTGTGTAGATGTTTCGCTTACTTGGAGAAATTACTCGAAATTATCCGTGCGCCTTGAATCCCATAACATGCATATAGATGATCGTGTACGGCCTGGTGCAGCATAGAAAGCAATCCTCGCGTGGACGAGAGGATTTTGGTTGCATGTGGTGCACAAAAAATGTCATCCACCGACTTCTGGCTCAATGGGAATCAGTGATGAAGCACATTCGACGGAGAAAACGTTCTCGCACATAACGGTTTTTTATAACATTCAGGACAGACTTGATGGTCCTCATCACCCTTGAATCTTGAATTAGGGCAGCAAGTTTCAAAATCAATTCCGATCTAGAATCAATTTCGTTTAGCATTGATAGCACAACTTTGCGTATTAGTGTCGGAAGTGGGATGGAAAATGAACTGGGATTATTGTCGATTGGATCATAGATAATTGAAGAATCTCGATGCACTGGGGGATTCCCATTCAGCTGATGAAGGGACCAGTCAGGCAGTGGACAGCTGCGGTGGCGGGGTATACATGCCGACGATTTTACGAGGTTGGTGATACTCGTTATCAGAGTGATTATCCCATCCATGGCACTAGCAGACGATGGGTTTTGTGAAAACATCAGAATGTTTTGTTCCCATGAAAGAAATATTTGAGGCAACCCGCTAGCAAATCAGTATATCAGCAGCAGTTGCACGAGGACCGCGGTTCGAAATGAACGCTGAGTTGATTCACTTACTTGAGGAAACTACTTGAAATTATCCGTGCTCCTTGAACCCCGTAGCAAGCATGCAGATGTTCATGCAGAGCCTGATGCAGTGTAGAAAGGAATCCTCGTGTGGATGAAAGGATTTGAGGTGCATCACGCGTACAAAAAATGTCATCAACCAACGTCTGGCTCAATCGGGATTAGTGACGATGCACATTGGACTCGGGCAATGGAAACTCTCTCGTACATAACAAGTTTTTATAGAGTTCAGGACAGACTTAACGGGCTCCGTTATTCTTGAATCTTCAATCAATGTGGTAAGTTTCAAGATCGACTCCGATTTAGAATCAATCTCATTCAGCACTGATATCACAACCTTGCGTATCAGTGTTGGAAGTGGGATGGAAAATGAACTAGGGTCGTTGCCGATTGGATCATAGGTAATTGAAGAATATTGGTTGTCTGGGGAATGTGGTTTCAACTGGTGGAAAGATTAGACGATTGACCACTGAAGTAGCAGGATATACATGCCGACGATGCTAAAAGGTTCGTGACACCTGTTGTCAGAATGATGATATCCACGTGGGGCACTCCGTTTTGCGAAGACATCCGAATACTTTGTTCCCATAATGGAAACATACAAGGAAACTCTCTGGGGACACAGTGTATCAGCAGCGGTTGCACGAGAACCAGGGTTCGCAATATATGTCTAGATATTTCACTTACTTGGAGAAATTACTCGAGATTATCCGTGCTCCTTGAATTCCGTAACATGCATGCAGATGCTCGTGTAGAGCCTGGTGCAGCATAGAAAGCAATCCTCGCGTGGATGAAAGAATTTGTGTTGCATGAGGTGCACAAAAAATGTCATCGACCAATGTCTGGCTCAATCGGGATTAGCGATGATGCACATTTGACAAGGGAAACTCTCTAGCACATAACAGGTTTTTATAACGTTCAGAATAAAGTTGATGGGCCCTGTTATTATTGGGTCTTCAATCAGCGTGGTAAGTTTCAAAATCGACTCAGATCTGGAATCAATTTCATTCAGCACTGCTATCACGACCTTACGTATCAGCGTTGGAAGTGGGATGTAAAATAAATTGGGGCCGATGCTGATTCGATCGTAAGTAATTGAACTTCGGTTCGTAGAAGGATTCCCTTTCAGCTGGTGGGGAGATTAGATAATCGACCACCGCAATGGCAGGATATATACGTGCCGATAATTTTACGAGGTTGGTGATACTTGTTGCCAGAGCGACTATCCCATCCAAGGCGGACGCTGTGTTTTGTGAAGACGTTTGAACGTTCCGTTTCCATGACAGAAATATTTGGGGCAACTCGCTAGCAATACAATCATAGTATTAGCAGTTGCACGAGAACCGCACTTCACGCTGATGTTTAGTTGATTCACTGACTTGACAAAACTACTTGAAATCATCCGTGCTCCTCGAATCCCATAGCGTGCGTGCAGATGCTCATGCAGAGCTTGGTGCAGTGTAGAAAGCAATCCTCGCGTGGTTGAAAGGATTTGGGGTGCATGGGGTGCACAAAAAATGTCATCGACCGATGCCTGGCTCGATCGGAATTAGTGATGATGCACAGTTGATAGGGGAAACTCTCTCGCACATAACATGTTTTCATAGCGGCCAGGATTGACTTGACGGGCGCTGCCATTCTTGAATCTTCGGTCAATGCAGTGAGTTTCAAAATCGACTCCGATCTAGAATCAATGTCATTCAGCACTGATATCACGACCTTGCGTATCAGTGTTGGAAGTGGGATGGAAAACAAATTAGGGGCATCGCTGATTCGATCGTAGGTGATTGAATTTCGGTTCGTTGAAGGGCCCCCTTTTAGCTGGTGGAAAGATTAGGCGATTGACCGCCTCAGTGGCAGGATATACGTACCGATGATTTTACGAGGTTGGAGATACTTGTTGTCAGAGTGATTATCCCATCTGCACGGGACACTATGTATTGTGAAGACGTCTGAGTGTTCCGCTCCCACGCCAGAAGTATCTGGGGCAACCCGCTAGCGATACAGCATATTAGTGGTTGCACGAGAACCGTAGTTTACAATGAATGCTTAGCTGATTTACTAACTTGAAAAAACTACTTGAAATTATTCGTGCGCCCTGAATCCCATAGCGTGCATGCAGATGTTCATGTAGGGCTTGATGCAGTGTAGAAAGCAATCCTCGGGTAGACGAAACGATTTGTGGTGCACGAGGGCCACAAAAAATATCATCGATCGATGTCTGACTCAATCGGGATTAGTGACGGTGCACATTCAACAAGGGAAGCTCTCTCGCACATAGCAGGTTTCTATAGAATTCAGTACAGACTTGACGGGCTCTGTTATTCTCGAATCTTCAATCAACGTAGTAAGTTTCAATATCGACTCCGATCTAGATTCAATTTCGTTCAGTACTGATGTCACAACCTTGCGTATCAGTATTGAAAGTGGAATGGAATACGAGTTCGGGTTGTCGCTGATTCGATCGTAGGTGATTGAATTTCGGGTCGTTGAAGGGCTCCCTTTCAGCTGTGGAGAAATTAGGCGATTGACCGTTGCAGTGGCAGGATATACATGCCGATGATTTTACGAGGTTGGTGATACTCGTCGTCGCAGTGATTATCCCATCTACGCGGAACGCTGTGTTTCGCGGAGGCTTCTGAACGCTCCGTCTCCAGGTTAGAACCACTCGAGGTAACTCCCTAGCAACACAGAATATTAGCAGTCCACAATGAATTAAGCTGATTCACTGACTCGGAGAAACTACTCGAAATTATCCGTGCTCCTTGGATCCCATAATATGCATGCAGATGTTCGTGTAGTGCCCAATGTAGCATGGAGAGCAATCCTCGTGTGGATGAAAGGACTTGAGGTGCATCAGTTGCGCAAAAAATATCATCGACCCACGTCTGGGTCAATCGAGATCAGTGATGATGCGCGTTCAACAAAGGAAACTTCCTTGTACATAACAATTCTTGATAGCATTCAAGACAGATTTGACGGCCCCTGTCACCCTTGAATCTTCGATCAACGCACTAAGTTCCAAGATCGACTCCGATCTAGAATTAATTTCACTTAGCACCGATAGCACAACATTGCGTATCAGTGCTAGAAGTGGGATGAAAAAGGAACTGGGGTCCTTGCGGATTGGGTTGTAGGTAATTGAAGAAGCTCGGTGCACTGGAGGACTCCCATTCAACTGATAAAGGGATCAGTTGGGCAATCGGCGGCTGTGGGTATTAGTAGGATATACGTGCCGACGATTTTAACAGGTTGGTGATACTTGTTGTCAGAATAATTATCCCATGCACGTCGGGTGCTGTGGTTTGCCGAATGTCCCGTTCCCACCGTAGAAATATCTGGGGTAACCTCCTGGCAACACCGCATATTAGCAGCAGTTGCACAAGAACTGCGGTTTACCATGAATATTTGGCTGATTCACTGACTTAAAGAAACTACTCGAGATCATCCGTGCACCTTGAATCCCATGACATGCATGCAGGTGCTCATGTAGAGCCTGGTGCAGCGTGAAAAGCAATCCTCGCGTGGATGAAAGGATTTGAGGTGCATCGGGTGCACCAAAAATGCTATCGGCCGACTTCTGATTCAATCGAGATCAGCAACGATGCGCATTCGACAAAGGAAACATTCTCGTACATAGCAGTCTTTTATGGCATTCAGGACGGGCTCAACGGCCCTTGTTATCCTTGAATCATCAATCAATGCAGCAAATTTCAAAACTGACTCCGACCCAGAATTAATCTCAATGAGGATTGATAGTAGAATTTTGCGTAGTATTACTGGAAGGGGCTTGGAAAATGAACTAGGGTCATCACCGATTGGATCATAGGTGATTGAAGAATTTCGGTTCGCTGGAGGATCCTTTTTCAGCTGGAGAAGGGATTAGTCAATTGACCGCTGCAGTGGCAGGATTTACGTGCCGACGATTTTACAAAGTTGGCGACAGTGGTAGCTAGAGCGGTGATCCCGTTCACATTGGGCGCTGTGCCTTGCAGAGATGCCGGAAAGCTCCGCCTCCATGATGGATATATCTGAAGCAACTCTCTAGCAATATTAGAAGTAGTTGTGAGGCCCGTGGATCACAATCAATGTTTAGCTGATTCACTGACACAGAGAAACTGCTTGAGATTGTCCGCGCTCCTCGAATCCCATAGCATGCATGTAGATGCTCGTGTAGTGCCTGGTGTAGCGCAAAGAGTGATCCTCGCGTGGATGAAACGAACAGAGGCGCGTCAGGTGCGGAGAAGATGTCATCGGCAGACTGCTGGTTTGATTGAGATTAGTGATGATGTACACTTGGCAAGGGAATCCTCCTCGTACGTAGCAGTTTTTTATAACGTTCAGGACAGATTTAACAGCCTCTGTTAACCTTGAATCTGCCACCAGCGCCGCAAATTTCTGAATTCTCCCCAATATGGAACCAATTTCAGTCGTAGTGTGAGCATACGTCATCAGCCGGATGGGGTTTCGGCGGTCAGCCCCGATGTTTGGGTGGTTAAGAGATCCGCTCTGATACTGGGCCCCAAACCTCAGTATCAACATTTCCTGAATAGTGGACGCAAAGAACCAGCAGTTGTCCTACAGGTGGTTTGTAGGTCAGGGGATGATACAAATCAAATAAAGTCGCGAGACTCACCTTTGTTAACTTGTATTCGGGTGACTCTGTCGCGATAGCGTACAGAATTTGTGCAACTGCAGTTAAGGGTGCTAAAGTCGGAAAAATCATGACAGCCTCTACACCAGATTTCTTGTTCGTGTAATCTAGGAGGTGTTCATGTCGGCCAGAAATGGCAGCCTATCAGGCACTGTGCTTCAGTTGTAATACAGGCCATGCAGGTTTCACCCCTCACAGTGTCCACGGCAGCTGACGTCCCCAGATCTCGCACTGCGAATATCCGTAATGGGACGCTGTGATCTCGTCGACGGTCTAAGCGAAGGTAGAAGTCCCTTCCGTCTGTCCGAACAACGTGAAGGATGAGAAATCGGTGTGGCACGCCATGGAGATCACCATAACGCTCAACCGACATAATCCTAGCATCATCCACACGAGCACTCTTAAGCAAACTTTCGCAGAATGTTCGAACGCTATAAATCCTGTATGGCTGAGAGTCCAAGTGTTTAGAGTAAAATGCACCCGCCGACGCGAGACTTGCCACATTCGTGACTTTACTCGAGAGAGAAGGAATGGTTGGTGCGACAGTGGATGAAGTATCAGAAAAAGTCATTTGGGAAAACCGGTTGGCCGATATGCTGCTCAGCGATGGCGCGTTTGCAGAAGATGCATCGCTAGACAGAGCAGGCTCGAGCGACGGCTCAGTGCCTTCATCGAGCTATTACGTAAGTTATGTAAAATCAATTAAAGATCGACGCTTGTGCACAATTTATTCTCACGTTCTCGAGGAAATCGTCGACCGAGTCCGAAAGGCCGACGGTCGCAATGCTGCCCGTGTCACTGAGGCCCTCTTCAACAGGTGCGTGGTTACCGGACGCTGATAACGTGGATATCGGATCCAGTAAGAACGCCTGAATATGTAGATTCAAAATGCCATGAATTTCTCACTACCAACGCCACCAGTGCGATTTCCAGTATGGCGCCCAGCGGTGTCCATGTCCAAATGGTGAATCGGACGTGACTAAAGGATGAAACTAAGCGTCAAAGACATCGACATCATGGGGTCAATCTCGTGAGAAAGGAGTAAAGTACCAACCCGCAGCAGTAATTATGTCTCAAGTCCTCTTGGATTGAACCGCCTCACAATGTTATCGTTGGTGATTCTCGACGAATCCAAAATATGCGATGGGACTGGTGAAAGACTAGGAAGTGATGGAAATGATGTGAGAGGACAAGTATTAAGACTGGTGAAAGTTGATTGGTAAGAGCCGCGCGGGCTCGGTAATGCCAATCCGGATGTCACGCCAGGGTTGCATGCATCATTGAAAATGTGCGACCTTGCTCTAAGGGTACTTCGCGTTCTCGAGGCGAAGCATCAGCCGGCAACAATCACCACAAGGACCGTCAAAATGAGACCTGCTCCAGATGAGTCTTTAGGCATGTCGTCTTACCACTCGCGCACTTCCGTTGAGCTGTTACATGAACTCGTAAGCCAGGTAGATATAACTCTGGGACCGCCAGTCCTCCAGCGCGTTGGCTAAATATCGATGTGCTGCGCCCAATTGGGGGCGATCCTTACAGCAAGCCAAGGAAAAATCGGCGCGCCCGATTTGAATGAATGGCCGTGCGGATCATGTAATCTTCCACAAATGGTAGCAAATAAATGATGATCGACTTCCATTTTCCTACGTAAATAGGGTTAATCACATGACCTGACTGGCCATTCATCCAAATCGGATGCGCCGATTTTTCTTTGTAAGTCGCCACAAAATGTTACCCACCCTCGTTTTCAAGTGGCAGTGCCGCGTATCTTCCACACATGGCTGGTGTCTTCGGGTGAGTGGAATCCTCGGATTTTGTGGCGTCGGGGGATTGTCGGGTATGAGTGTAAGATCAGCCAGTAGAGAACAGCTAAAAAAAGGATGGAAAGTGTGTCCGTGCCCAACTCTTGTTTTGGTGTTTCCTTCCCGGGAAGGAAAGTGACGTGATGATCATCATACCCTAAGTATTTGATATTCTGTAGACACTCAACAAGCTACGACTAGGGACAATAGAATATTGTTTCGTTCAGCTGCGGTAAGCGCATCGTAGTCACAGGAGAACTTAATAATCTAACTGTCAAGTGGTGGACTCTCGAGGATTCATACGCCCGCCTGCCGCACGTCCCTGAGTGTGGTTGCGCAATCTAGAAGTCTAGAAGGTAGACCCACTTCGCCAAACAGAACAGCATCAGCGAGGTCCACGCGATAGTATTGCAGGATAGCATTCCGCCGAGGCATGAGTTCGGCGCTTCGTGATATATATATATATATTGCCCTGAGCACTTTTTTTCTCGAGTGCCGTCGATCAGTGTGGATGATGATGTCAACATTATAAACAGCAAATAGGTTGGGTCCAGCCGGTTATGGGGGACTAACCCAACTTGTCCATGTTTGCTGCGTCGACAGAACAAAGCTCACTTTAGACAATCTTAGCATACACAAAATTGTGGCAAAATAGAGATCTAATAGTACACATTTGGTCAGAAATCTTCCGGTCGTACGAATGCTCCATTAACAATTCGTCCAAGATGAGTGGAAGTGTAGGGTATCCCTTATATATTTTAATATCGATGTGAGAACTTAATTTTCTGATCGGACGGGAGAACTCACCTTTCCTCCTGTGGCTCATCAGCTCATGTATGAAAGGGAGAGGGCTGCTATCAAACGGACAGACCAATTCCATCTCTCCAGTGCGGTTTTGGGGAAGGATGAAGCCGTCACTTTGGGTTTCGATCTCGTTGTTCCCGTCATGACTCGTGTTGACTCCCAAAAAATTGCAAAGTTCAAGGTACGTTTCAAAGTCGTTAAGGTATACCTGGCCTGAGAATATGTTGAGCTGCGAGATCGTAAGCCTCTCCGGCTCCGTCCACATTGTTGGTAAAGGTGGAATCGTGCAAAATCTGAGATCATCGAAGGACCTCATTGGTTGGTTCACTCTAGGCGAGTAGACATGCAACGTAGTGTTGTGGCTGCGGCGGATTTCAGGGAGTAGCTCGTTCGCCTCAAAGGGGCTGCAAACAACGAGCGTCGGGTCGCGGGCACTGGACAGTATCCAGTTGACGGGCCGAAGGAACTCGATGCTTTTCTGGACACCCAAACCTTTGATGACCGTGACGAAGTCTCTGGTTGCAAGTAGCTTGTCTGACCACTTAGTGACTTGCTGCGGGGACGGATGAAGGATTGGGACTGAAGAGAAGAGCGCGACGAAAGCATGCGATGAGTCCGCTGGTGTCCGGCCACTTCGTACGAAAGCCACGATATCAGGATCGAGGCGATGGCGAGCAGGCGGTAAAGGCGGTGGTCTCTCGACTTGTTGCTCCCGTTCGAGCTCATGGGTTACCTCGCGTTCCTGCTCTTGATCTTCTTCCATTCTCACCAGCCCGCTCTCCGTGGAGAACGAGAAGATGTAGGCCCTCTTTCCGATCTCACGAAAGTCGGCAGCGGGATGATGGGATGGTTCGCGTGTTGATGATACGGAAGACAATGGTACCTCGTACATTTCCTTCAAAGACTTCGACTCGGGTTGCAGCCAATATTTCGCCAGCCCCGAAGCGTCACTGGCACCAGACGACCAAAACTCTTTCCATGCGCATTGCCTGTCCGTGTAATGAACTCCCTGCTCTCTCCAGTGAGAGCTATAATGCTGTAGGCTCTTACATGTCTCACCGATGGACCAGGCAAGAATGTCGCCAGCAGTGATTTGTTCTCCGTGGATTTTTGCAGTGAACTGGCGGATTGCGTGATCCACAACGGGAGGTGCAAGAAAGAGAATAGATTGTCCCTGCCCTAGCTTGCGCATTCGCATGCATCCTAAAGAAACATGTTTCTGCTTTTGATATGATTTTATCTCAACAGAAGGTTCACCTTGAACTAGTTTATCTTTCGTCACTTTCTGACCCAATGTCACTGCCGCACGATAATCAAGGGGCAGCTTTAAGTCGGTGCCCCTCGTATGGGAATCATCAAGGTACACAAGGCAACGATCAAGCCGGCGTCTGTACGAGGACGAGATAAGCGGCTCCGTTTCGCCATCACGTCGTACAATAAGGATTTCGTCATCTTCGAAGAAGATCGCAACATCTACGTCGGCTGCTGGGATTCTCGAAAGCCATCTCGACGCCAAACCCCTGTTGGAGTCTTCCAACATTTGAGCGCCCACATCCAATAGAACTCGGATTTGAGGGGTCTCCTCGATAAGGATATCCAAAAACTTGCTACGCTCTGCAGTTCGGTAATGATCATTCTCGGGCTGGAGCATCAAATTCAACACCTTGGCATTCGTGCTTAATTGCGCAGGAATGTCGACCTGTTTAATAGAAGTGGGGAGAAGATAGCGGTTGTCATTTGTACCACTGAACCCTGTCGTTATGTGTTTTCTTCGTTCAGCGATATCCCATCCAGATGCGGAGAGCTTTTGCGGATACGCCTTGGCTTCCCTCGGAAAAACAACCTGAGAGAGGAAGAAGTTGATTGTCTCCTGGTTTCTTTCGAAAGCTGGATAGAGATAGTCAATCTTTTGGTTGTGGTTGCTCGGATTGAAACCGCTATAGTCACAGAGGAATTCCGGCACTAAACAGTTCTCTTTTATCCATTTGCCATATTCCACCACCGGATCCTCCAGTCGACCAAGGAGTTCGAAGCATACATCCAGTTGATCACAAGATAATCCACCGTAATAATAGCTGAGACATGTCAACGAAATGCAGACGTCCGGATGACTGAACTCCGCCCTCAGTGAAGGCACATCTTTTGCGCGATAAGGCACTGCGAGAAGGGACCGTGTAAGGTCAAGCCCATAATCCACTCGCCACCTACGTTCGCTAAAGATGTACGTAAGTATTCCGTGGGCAAAAAGGCCCCTCAGCAAGAGCAGAGTGTTCCATAGGCAGGCGTCGCGATGGCAGTGATTTGTCAATTCGTTAAGTTCTCCAGGATCCGGTTTTGTGATGAAAGCCACTGCTTCTTGTCGCGCTCTGCCGTGAAATAGCCTTAATGAAGGCAGATCTGGACACTCCCCCGACATTATTCCATGCACAAGACATTCCACAAACCAAACACCGGCCTTAGGGTTGAGAATACGAAGATGAGGGAAGCATCCACCTCGCTGTTGCTCGACCTCGAAGCCCCCTTGAGGAAAGAATTCCTCGATGAACCGGGTGTGGCTGCGCAAGATGGAAAACACATGTTGCACAACAGTCCATCGGTCAGGATGATGGTCTAGAGGCTGCTGGGCTCCAACAGTGTAGACGAGTTGGTATTTGACTGCTAGAATCTCATCGCTCTCGTCCAAAATGTCCCTAACATTCGAATCCAGCCATCGTTGCAGTCCCAGCATCGCATTTGGCGTCTTCTGGCCCATGACAGCCGGAAGTTGTTGATCTACACCCATGAGTTTGAACGACAGGACGTGTTCAGGCTGCATGACCAGTATTCCACCCGCGCGCATGCATTCACGATATATGCTTTGAAACAGGGATAAATGGTGTCCAGCCACAGAAGTCGTGCGGGAGAAGGGCGTGTAATATACCCGCCGATCGGCCAGGCCACTCAAGCGTCGGACGAGTAACTGAAACATTTGGTTTGCTAAGGGTTTTAGCACAATAATTCTAATCAGTTTTTGTCCGTCCGCCAAAGATGATGCTATTAGAGGGACAATGACAGATGATTTCCCTTCCCCCATATTGAGTTGGAGGATAGCGTTTTCCTGTGGGCAGGGGAACATCATGTTACGCGCAACGTCAACTTGAAGCGGGCGGATAAGAAAGTTAGAGTCAATCTCAAGCACTCAAAAAGTCAATACCCTCGTCTGCGCTGAAAAATCAAAACCTACCTGGATGAGCAGCCAGTCTACTCTGTCCGAAATGTCATGTAAATCAGTATAATTCTGATATTCCTTCAGGAATTCGTCGGTGCTGTGTCTTGATTTCATCAACCTCTCCGACCGCTGCAACAGCAGTATGGACTGGGCAAGGCGAATAAGAGCGGTTTTCCAACCAAGGGAGAGACCAACTCTTGAGCGCGATGAGAATGATAAGTGGTGTAACAAAGAACGTAGGGTGCTCTTCGGCCACAGTCCAGCTACACGCATAACCTCCTCTGGGGCCTCTGACCGAGGATCCGGATCGATTGCCTGTTCAATTTGCTCCAGGGTATCGTATAGATAAGTTTGGTACGTCTGGTGATCACGATAAACCTGAAGGATTTCTACCCGCTCCGTGCCGATTTCAGTATCGTACTGCAATGCATCCCTGCTGACTTCGAGATCTTCCCCATATTTTCGAGATAGTGGGCTCCCAGATGAGCGGAGACTCGAAATGAGAACTCTCAGATTATCAGGTCCCGATCGTGAAGCCAAGCATCCCTTTGATCTAGGAGGGGAAGGGATAGGAGCAAGAATCGGAGGCTGTCGAAGGAAAACATCGCGATACGATACAATGGATGGTAGTGCCTCTTCAGGGTGTGGAGAGGTCTGGAATGAGTATAGAGGTAGTACCGGAGCATTTGAAGTATAATGATTATCCAAGACCTGCTGGACTTTCCGGATGTGGTCACACAAATCCCGGTTCCTGGACCACATCCCGAACAACTCCGTTACTCTATGCATGGCAAGAGAGGTGTTAATTAGCCATGTATCCCCGCTTGGCACAAATGGCAACGTTGGTTTGCTCGAGGGTGCACAATTCCATTGGCCAGTTAAATGTGTGACAAGGAAGGAGGTTTGGGAAGACACTTGGGAATGATATGCCATTTTACGCTTCTTTTTAGACACATTTGGGGCCGATGGGTCGCCGATGTCCTGAAAGGGATTGGCACACTCTGAGATGGTGGTGTTGAGTTGTGATGAATCTGCTACGTAACCCATAGTGAATTTGTATCGTGACCACAAGGGCGGACTGATGGAACGGAATTCAGGGTAACGTGAAAATGCAAGAACGACGGGGAGCAAATCTTTGAACCGATGATTAGAGTACTCCAATGCCGAAAGACTGAACGCCATTTTGAAACAGGTATCATTCCCCCATCCGACTGATCGACAAGCATTGTATAAGGGAATCCATGCACTTGCTATGTCCAAGGACAGCCATTCTTTGCTATATCCGAGGCTTACGCACGATTGGTTGCAAGTGGAAGAGCCCTTCATCTCCTCTGTCCATGATTCGATGCGAGATAGAAGGTTTTTCGGGGTCCTGAGTTGAAGAGGACATTTGTACACCAAACTAGAGACATTTGAGGTGCGGTGAATGCGGGTAGTGTCGAGCCCGTCTGGAGCATCCCTAGATCTGTATGTCGTATCTACGCCCAGCTTGTCCTGCAAGATGCCAGAACCGTGCCAGATAGCATTGCGGCATCTCGCCCGAGAGAGTAAATGTGGGTCTCTTGCATGGGGGGTGTTTGTAGAGTCTTCTCTGGACGTGGAGGGGCGGAAAGCTTGCATTTGACCATCCCACTCTATTATAGACTGGACATCACTACAGAAGGCATCGTGTTGGATAATCGGTCTCAGTGCTTTATTCCAGACAGTTTGTTGCATCACTCGTAGGTGGGAAGGATACCAACTTCTTAACGGCGTCAATCTGGACAACTGATGAAGGATATTACGCTCCTCGTCATTAAGACTAAGAAACGATCTGCAGCGTGCTGAGCGAAGGATTTGAAGAGCTTCCTCAGTTCCCGACAATGACGTAAGAAGATCAGGTAGGCAGTAACTGGTGATGGCGTGAAGGTACGCCTGGAAAAGCGTGCTAGACAAGCTTCCATCTCCGACCAAACGGCCGAGCAGGGTATCGACATCATAATCGTAATAATTGACACGACGCGATCCTGAGTGGTCAATTGTGACAGCAACGTAGTCACCGTCTCCTACGATCGATATGTCGCCGACGGGGATGATGACACGCTTAGAATAAATGGGCTCCACAAAACGAGCGGGGTGATATCTGCTCTGGCGTAGAACAAGCCGACTCTGAAGACCTATCATTGTTCCTGTTGATTGATTGTCATGATCTATTTCGAAGCCGGGAAAGTTCAGTGAACAGAGCCCCCCCCCTTTTAGGACAAAGGAGAGCTGGAACCGAGGGAGGTCGACCAGGAGTTGGTGCGTTGTCGGTCTTGCGATGAGAATATTGTTTGGCACCTCCAAATGCCGAAGTACGCCATACATCATCCCCGCCGTCCGGCTTCGACAGTCAACCAATATGATAGACGACTGCTTATCCATAACCCATGTAGAGGACGGAGTGCAACGTAAGTGCCAATTTGATTGGGAGGGTGTCCAGGGCGCTTCCTTGGGTCGCAACTCAATCTGGCGCGTGGATACTTCCAACCAATGAACATAGTCGTCGATTAGAATAGAAGGGAGATCGCCCCTGAATATTTCACGAGGCAGCAACTCCAAGACCCAACGAGCCTCCCCATCAGGTCTGCAGGATCTACTTCGTAGAATGAGCTTTCCATCTCGCCATCCGAAGTGGATTATCTATTGGCAGTGAGCGTCAAGTGAAGTTTGGTTCGAAAATTCATTTTTCAACCAACCTGAGGGGTATCTTGAATTCCAAGTCGAGACCCGCAAGACACACTGGCATTAGTTGCATATTCCATATCTTCCATATCCGATGGAACAACACCCAGGTTTTTCTGCGAATGGATTGTGAATCGACAAGCGTTGTTGTGGATGAGAAACAGCTCCGCACTTCACCGAAAAGTTCCTTATATATCGGATGCCCGCGCACCACAGGTGGCAACCGCCCGAATGGCTTCCCCTCAATCAGTAACGCGCCACTCAGTACGTTAAATTGAACCTCTTGTGTCCTCTGACCAGTCATGGCAGTGGCTAACCAACGATCGTTCGGTCTTGGCAGCCTTGTCCAGCGACATGTTAAGTTGAAGCTAGCCCAAACCCTTGCTATCGCCTCACTAATACCTTGCATGGTTTCTGTTTCCTGGGCGCGGGTGATGAGAAGCTCTTCCATACTGCAGGACAACCGCTGGTCTCGGAGAAGCAATTGATGTAAATGAAGATCTGCACTGGAGAATTCTTGAGCTGAATGGTTGTGAAGGATGATAGCACATTCAACAAAAATGGCGACATCCTCTGGGGTCTGAAGGAGTGAGCCGGCATGAATTGAGTCAACATCAAAAGTACTCCTGCAAGTCGCAGCTATTCGGCATATTTCCTTCTCGTATTTGTCCTGTTCGGTTTCTGTTTCAGTGTTTGATTGGAGTTTCGTCAGTTCATCCAGCCAGCGCATAGCGATGCTTCGAATCTTCCGCAGCAACTTGTACGTTTTGTCAATGGTTGATTTATGTACCACGGAAGCCAGCAATCGACAAGCCAGGGTACTGACAGTCAGTGCTGCGACGCTCTGATTCCAGTTCCCCTCGATATCTGTTCCCAGCTGGTCAAGAACGTCTAGTAACACGGCACCGAATGATGCGTCCCGCAGAACTTCGTGGCATTCCCAGTCACCGTCACTGGAGAGGCAACCCACTTGACATGCAGCCCGAGAGATGAGATCACAAACCACCTCATGATGGAAACTGAGGATTCTCGAGGGAATTTCTCGGGAAATATTATACCATTGCAACCGCGCTCCGGCGCGCAATGACCCAAATGCAATGAATTCCTGTAAGCTGAGTGAAGCAGGACATTCATGTTGGCTCGCAAGAACTTCGTTCGAGGTATGGGAAGTGCCCTGTGCAAAGCATTCCAGGGAAACATATGGCGAACGATGTGCTATCTGCATGGACGTTCGGTGGCCGAGGTCGCAGTCGGGGGATGGGGGATATATCCAGCTATCGTTTTCTACGTCATACAGTCGATATGACAGTGCATTCGGGAGGCAGACGCTCTCTTCGCTCGTTGGGATGTTCACGTTTTTAAAATGAGTGTTCAAGAAGGACTTCTCCTGAGATGCCAACGAGACCCGGAGCTGAGAACCGGAGACAATGTTTCCGGGAATATTGAGGTCGGCATAACGTCGTAATGTCATCGATGGGGCCGCTTTGTGGGAATGAACAGGACGGGTGCAGATGTCACGAAGAAACCAATAAGTCGCTCTCCTCCAAGTCTTAAAATCCCGAGGACCCGCAAGTTCAAACACAACAACTTCGGCTCGCATTAGATGGTCGGGTAGCGGCCATTCGTGAATATGTATGTTGGCTCTTGCCTTCTTCTCATATTTGCATTTTTGACAACGGCGCGGATAATGTCCGACCTTACCGCGACGTGTAGAGTCGTTATGACCGATGCGAGCTGAAATCCACTGTCAGTCCGTGATCACAATTATGTTTATTTTCGAAATTATACCAGCCAGGTCCATATTTTCCTTGTACCGATGATTCAACAGGCGAAGCTCGAGGAGTTTTTCGTTCCGCTTCGCTGTCGCTTGCTCCTCGATGCGATGCTTTACTCCCTGAAGCAGTGGGGACGAGCTGAAAAACTTGACGGCAAAGGTTTCCTCATCTACAATTTCTGAAAAAATCGACCGAGGGTTACTACCGGCCTCGCTGTAGCGGCTGCGTAGATGCTGCTGGATCCTAGATATGCGTTCCAGCGAATCGGATTTCGGAAGCAGGAGTGTCTCATACAGAGTCAAGGGGATCTCGGGAGAATAGGACCTCAAAAGAGGACAAGAAGTGACTGCTAATATATCGAGTGCCATCCACAGTTCAAAGAGTGTGAGGAGCATGATGGACTGCTGTTCCGGGGCCTTTTCATACAACCTGTTTGCATTTTCGGCGTATGTTATCATGCAATCAGCGAGAATAGTACAGGATTTTTCGCAGTTCTGGCGGGAAACCTGCAAAGACACCCAGTCGTCGATGCTGTTCCTTACGCAATGCTCGAAATCCCGCAGTGCAACGAATCCATCGGCTTTTACGGCCTTTGGAAGATGACGGGGTACATCCTCAAACGGGTTATCGGCTGGTCGCGGATAATGAGATGGGTTGAACGCAGCGCTGGCGCTAGCATGTGCCACTGGGTTGAAAGCAGCATCGATGTAAGATCTGCAGTTCTTTAGGGTAAGGCTTGTGTCCCCATCAATATCTAATCCGTCCGGCGCCCATTCAGGTGTTTGCATCTGCACGTCTTGGACAGCTTCCCACCGATCTTGGAGCAGTCTTTCGGTATCAACAACAACCTCGCGGACATGCGCGACAAGAGCTGCACCTGCCCATGATCGAATTTTGAAGAGCCGACGGCTAAGCTTTGCACGCATGCAATAAAGGACGTCGCCTGGCAACCGGTTCTCGACACCATTGCGCAAAATCTCGGCCAGAAGGAGTATCATAAAGGACTTGTATTCGTTCACACTCGAGACGTTTCGGCGAATCGTAGTTTGTAAGGTGACACGAACAACGAGCCAGAGAGGGCTGCGTCTCCATGGGAGCAAGGTTTTATCCCACAAGACATCATCCGATGTCCTCTTCTGGATACGAGGAATGTCGGCAGGCTGTCCCAGTCCACGGAGTATCCCAGTCAGCAATTCGGTGATGTACATGGGATGAGTCGTGTCACGCTCTTCGACGAGGTCACTGCTTGCTTTCCTGGTGAGGGTTTGGGCGTCCGCCAATGAATCGATGTCCATCTGAATTAGGAATGTAGATAATTCTTCGAGAAATGCCGGGTCTAGCGCAATGTCATTCTGAACGGCAATAGCAGGTCCGGGAAAGGAACGGATAAGCTTTCTTGTACAGCCCATCACGTCTTTGTTCCTTGGTGAGACTTCAAAACTCTCGAATATCGTTTCCTCCTCTCCGCAACGGATGATCACGCTTGCGTTCTGAGCACGAATGAGAATGGAGATAATGTCTGCATCCAGATGTCATCGTGAATGTTCCGTACGAAGTTACAGCAGCCCTTACCTCCGGTAACCATGTTTTTGATAGATTCGTTGATCCAAACCTCCGGACACTCGTTGATTCGTCGCAATGTATCCACCATTTTCAACAAAGAGCCCCACAATGCTTGGTGCTCAGTCGCAGCATACTTCTGCCTGTAGAGCTCCATTGTACTGTAGACGGTCGACAGAAGGAAATCTTTGCGCTTTGGACTGTCATCCTCCTCCTGAGGTAGCTTGGGGGGCATGAAAACGTGGTTGATGACGAAGTCTAAAAGATCTTGCATTTCAGGATAGCGAAGGGGATAGTCTAGAATCCCCGGTTATAATGAGGCGTTGCAATAAAAGGGGAGGCAGATGTTTAACCTGGAGTTACTTGAGATGCACTGCTATGCCCCCACGGTCCGTATTTCCTGAGCTTGAGGGAAACGAGATATTTTCCCGCTACTTATATTGTACTGGGGCGCCATGCCGCTCTCTGACGAGGGGGCGTCAGGTCAGAGCTAGGAGAATATCATACGCACGCGTAGTATCCCTTTCGAGTGGCTTGTTGGATAGCAACTAGCGCAATTCCATTTATTTAGCCTCGAGGGCTAAGCATGCGACCCACATGTTGGAAAAGCTGCTCAGTTAATACGATAACAACCAATCGTGGAGCATGACCATAAGCCCATAAGTCGAAAGCTTTGCAAACCCATTCAGAAGATTGAATGGAATTGCCAGAACATCACGAGTTGAATACCGACCTTTATCCCGTTAAAAACTTGGTCATAATTGCGAAGAAAGTCTTGTGATGGACAAGGCGAGGCAAGGAAATCGGGGATACTGCAGACCCCCGTTGGCAATTGGCCAATCTTCCTGATGATGACGATCTGCGCAATGTGGGCTCTGAACGAGGCTGGAAAATGAGTGACAAATGGGGGCATTTCACATCCCTGCAACACAATTTCCACTGGTTCTCACATGCGAATCTTCCCGGGATGAGAAATAAGTGAGGCAGATCGGCTGTCGTTCGGAACAAGTGGTTCCCACTAAGTCTGTACAACGGAAAACCCTTGGAGGCTGATGGCCGATGCGCCTTCCATGGCTGACCAATGTTGCCGCACGCCTACAAAGACGCCAAGTCCATGCGCCTGGGAACCCGGAGAATAAAATTACACAACGCGCCGTCGTTGAGGTGAGCGTCAACTAAGTCTGTAGCCATGGGACCACAACTGAATTGTTCAGCACGAATCCACGTTAGTGCTCAGTGCTAGAAGAATAATATATAGTTGGACTAAGGCGCGAGGGGATGCATACAAAACGGGCTGCACCGCATGTTAGATCCATACCTTTCCAAGCGAGGCGATGGCCGCAAGCTGGAGCTTCTCCACCAATGACAGGAGTGAACTTGTGGAACAATTCGCAGCATCGTGAAAGAAAAAAACTGATATGAAGGGAAATGGGACAAAACAAATGTCTTTCCAAAATGGAAATGGGCATGCATATCCTTATTTGGGTATGCAATTATGTAATAGGGCGCCGAGGCAAGTCCCGAAGCTTGTGCTCCAATTCCACGTGAATGAGATGTAAGTACTAAGTAGGTACCAGGACGCGCCTTCCGTCAGACAGATACCAGACACTCCTTCCTTTAAGGGAAGATGAGGCATGGTGAGTTAAGCGGATTCCTAGGCAGGTGACCAGCCTCTGTTAGAATCTTTAACGGGAAGTTTACGGTAGACACGACTCCAGTGTACGTAGACTACTCGCCACAAGGGGATAGACCCAGCGCACTAAGTCATGGTTACTGTCGCTAGGCACCTTTCTCTTTACGGGTAACCATTCGACAAGAGAAATGAAGGACACCTTTTCCCGATGTGGGTCATCATGAAGTTCTGGTGGCTGTCGCGAGTCTTACCATTTGTCACGTTCGATTTATCGAATTCCTCACGCATTTAATCTAAAGCCAGATTGTGTTTACCATGTCCGATGTCCTTGCTGTCCCCTACTACACCCGCTTCTCGATTTATGCCCCAATTGACGCCCCTGACCACTGCATCATGTGCATCAACGCCACTCGAACATCTCAAAAAGAAGGGCAATCAGGTGAATTTCATCTCATGTGCAGTGGACCAGGCGGTGTGAATCTAGCAGTCCGGTGTGGGGGAATGAGAAAATCGGAGTGGGTGTGCCGAATTATTGCAACAAGACACAAGCAAAAGACCAGGAATTGATGCGAGACAGGTGCAACGGAACGAAAATAAGGTGCACGGAGTGGATTTGCGCTGCCTGTGATACCCCAATCGTCAGCGACCCCATACGCCCTCTATCTGACTCCGGAGGCACTGCATAAGGACCCACCCGATCGCCATATTATCATTCGCAAGGCACAGCTTTGCAGCTGGTTACCCTCAAGCTTAGGTGAGAAGCATCGATGGACGGCAGATCTAGCTTGCTGGGTGCAAAGACCACATTTATGGCCATTAATTGGAGTGGAATGCCCGCTTCGCTCGATTGACTCTGCACCGCGCAATATGAAAGGCCAAAGTGACGTCAAGAGAGAGAGAAAAAATTAGGCACCTACAGATCGCGTTGCATACAAGGGGGAGCGCTCCGTTTCGCGGATGAACCGGGTGGTGTGCAAAAGGATCTTCAGATGGGAGAGCAATTGGGACGGCTCGAAAGTTTTGATGGATGTATCATCAGCGGAGGCTCCTCTTGAGCTTTTGGCGCTTGCGGCAGAAACAACGGCAGGTGAATTGGGCGAATCCACATGTCTCCATAAGCGCTCAAAGCTACATGCGCGGATCGTAGATGGAGGATGTGCCACTTGGTAGGGACGCCAGATTCTTGTTTGTAGTGGACACAGCAGTGGAACACTGCCTTTGTGGTAGAGGGCTCGTTATCCGAGCCCTGTCTGCGCAGCTTTCGGCGAGTTGCCGCTAGAGAGGCAGGCATGTAAGGGGCATGGGAGACGTTGGGATTGGTGACTTTTTTTTGGCGAGCGAGTCGGCTTTTTCATTGCCTGAACAGTGCCCTGGGACCCACCCGAGGTGGATTCGTAGGTTGGGATGTGTATGTTTTCGTACTCGTTTAGAATGATGTGTTTGCCCAATTGACACCCTGGTGGATGCGGAGGGCTTTGATGGCAGCTTGGTTATCTAGGCAGATGATAGCATTCTTTGTGTCGGGGGGAGATCGCGTAAATATGTCTAGTGCGAGTTTGACACCTACTAGCTTGCCTTCGTAGGTAGAATGGAGCTGGGGGCCGCCGAGCCTCTGAGGACTGGAGACCCTATGAATTGGCGAGTACCCTCCTGCTGCCATGCCCGTGTCCGTTCTAGAGCCGTCCGTATAGATGACGAATCGCCTGTTGCTGAGTATGAGATACTAGTGTCGCTTAACCGCTTCCCCCTTGAAGGGGGCGATGGGTGCGGGTCCCACGGTGTACGAGGGAGCTGGGGGGTGTGAATTAATTCCACATGCTCATGGAAAAAGTGGGCGTTACAGCAAGTGGTAGATAGCATGTAGGGCTAAGCAGTGAGATCTGACGTTGTGTCTTAGGCAGAGCCATCGGGGCGACTGATCAAGTCCACCACTGGCCGACTGTGACGTGGCCACCGTCCCCTCCGCAATGGATCTCGCGACGAAGGAAGGCTGTGCGATCGGCGCTCGTTGAGGCTTTGGCTCTGCAGGGATCAACCCTCCCTAAAACACAACGCCAGATAAGTACTCTGTCAAAATAAACCAACAGGGATTGGAGCTTGGCGTCTTCCGGGGTAATAGAGAAGGTAATTTCTGTTCTGCACTACATTCGATTCCTGGAATGTGAATATGAAGTCGAGAAGAACAAACCAACAGAGGACAAGCAAGAACGCAGAAGTTGCCATCAATGGATGGTTCTACAAGCCCTGTAAGCGATGAAGACCAAGATATATGCAGTGCTTTTTAGGAGCACTGATAGGAAGTTGCACTTCTTATGGGACAAAAGCGGCGGTCAGTGACTCGAATGACAGATCAGCGGGAGGTGATGCCACGAGGAAGCAAACGGTTCTTTTCAATCGGGGGAAGCCTTCAATCCATCCAGGCAACGTCGGATGGCTTGTGCAACGTATTTGGAACTCATAACAGCGCGTAAGAGAGATAATAGGATATAGGAAAATCAACAGAAGGATGGGTCCAGGTGTCCACAGTGTGGTTCATGTGCTTTTTAACACCAGAGCAAGCTCACCCCATCAGTGGGTTCGAAGCAAACAAGATACGAGCGTAGGTACTAATGCCAGAAACGAATGGTTTGTCAAGCTAAAACCAAAGCATCAATGATAACATTGACTAGAGCCCGACTGACAAATATCCCATGTGAAGAGGCACCCAATCTCCGACGCGACCGGCCCCCGACAAGACAGTCCAAACGCTAGATTAACAAGGGCAGGCAAAAAAAAATCAAGGGAGGAAATGGTGGCCGATCTCGACACCACAGGGAAATACTTAAACTGGCGAAGACCGCAGAGTGTCCAATATCTTTCATGCCAGGTGGATGGCGGAACAGCTTGCACGCCGTGGGAATCTTAGAAAACGGAGGCTCCCGCGAAACGACAGATGGATTTGGTGAGATTCATTGTCCTCGCTGCACTGTGTCGCTTTCGTGGAATGTCCAGCATCCTTCTGTTCCTCGGGAGTCTCAGCAAAATGATTCTACGAGGCCTCAGACAAAGAAAGAACAGCCTTCTTGTTTTACTCCCAAGTGCATCCTTTGCCAGCGGGTTTAACTGCACTGTGCAGGTCAAAGGCCGAGATCTTGTTTGGACAACACAAGTCTTCCCTACTTGGTGTACACTCGAAAACCTTCGGGAACAGGGTGACCAAGGTCCACTCGGCTGCAAGACCTCTTCGGTATTCCTGAGAGTCAGAAGGCCTTTTCCTCTTCTCTTGATTCCCCAATGGCCCATTGCTCGCCGACGTATTAGCCCACAATTTTTGCCTCGCCTCTACTGATCTCTTAAATATTTAATTGTGCGTTGATTCCTTGTTGACTGCTCACTGTGCCGTCCCCAGCCAGACACCCAGGCTGGTCCTTTTCTTTAGAGGCAACCTGCGAAGCCATAAGCCGCGAATCGCTTTCGAGCAGACTAAAATGGCTCTTGAAGGAATATCCCTAGACTAACGTATGGCCTGTTACTTTTAAACTCTCCTGGACCGACAGTTTGAGTTTTGGGGCATTTTTCGTTGTCGTTTGAAGATACTCCTGCTCAATTGAATCACCTCCCCGGACCATCCTTGTATTCGCAACACCTATCGAGGCTGTTCTTCCATTACCAGCTGCATCTCGCACCGTAGATCCTCGGCATTCCTGTGCAGGTGAATAGACCTCTTCCTCCTGATACATTGCGCGGGTCAGCTAAATTTGCACTAAAATCGTAAGTCGTATCAATGGTCGAGCAGTGACATTGGCGAATGTTCTGCGTGTCTCGTATATCTACTGGCAAATAGTCTTCGGGAGATGGCTCGACCCCGGGGCTCTGGGATTGCGCTCATGGTTTCCATACGCAACTTGTACGTCAGATTTGAGTGTCGGCCTGGAGCAGGAACACGAACTGCAGTGAACTGTTGCTGCAGCCATGTAATCCAGCTGTGACCAGAGTTCGGCATAACAACGACCGAGGTAGCAAATGGCGCCCCTTCCCCGGCTACAAAATTCCTTGTTGCATGCTTACGGTCCTCCAGTACCTTCATGCTACGTAGCCATCTGTGTTGTGGTCGCGTGGAAGCAGCAATGGCGCCAGTTGTAAGATTGATTCTCTGGTCTTTGCGCGTTCCGAGGGAATGGAGTCGCGGTTAGCAGCGACGCAATCGAAACCTGCGGGGAATGGAGTAAGGGTACGCACCTATCGGCCACGTAACCCGAGATCTGGAGAAAGGGCTTTGAATTTCGGTTCGGCGTTACAGTCTGTGCCCTAATCCCCAATGAAGAATACACCCATCTGGACTTCCATTCCCCGTTACTGTGTATACCGTATCCAATCTGTCAACTCTCATTTGCTCGCGTGTATCGCTATGAGGGGTCGAAATTGACACTGGGATGGCTTGCTGTGTTCGGGATAAAATTATTGGAACGGTAATGTCAGGACACTGGATAGCGCACACCCAGCGCAAGGTGCATGCATGTTTTGTCGGTTCAAGTATTGCTCTGTGGCGGACTGAACAACGGTGGCATAGCTGGAGTCCTGTGATTAACTACGGCATGGCTTTTCGAGCGCAAAATGGTACAGAGCGCAAATGACGTGATGCGGAGCGATCCTGATCAGCAGGATCTTTTGTCGCAGATGTGCACGAGATCCTGTTGAGTAGGATCAATATCTGGGACCCAACACCGCCATCACGATACCAAGATATAGATCGGACATACCACTCAAAGATCCTTGTTGTGGAGTAACTGCGGAACTTCGATTGGCCTGACGCAGCCAGACGTCTTGGTGAGACTTATGCAACTGACGTAACGACTTAGTGTTACCATATTGAGTCTAGCGCACTAGAATCTACTTTTCGTAGTGACCACAATGACCACGACCACTAGTGGGGCCCGTCCAATGTAATCCAGGTGAACGGAGCGCGTGCATACCTGCTCGTTGCTGTTTTCCCAGTAGGGTTAGTCCTCGTGTGGTTCGCAAGTTGTTTGTTCCATCCCACCGAACTTGCCAAGGCACAACTCGCAGTGGTCCGGAGGAGGTGGATACCATTTGCGGGGTTTGCACTGAGACATAACCAAAGTACCGGTTTGGAATCCATCCTGCGCACGACGTGTTGAATGAGTGACAAAAACACTCAGGACCCCATTTGGTCCGTCATATCCATCACGGACACGCTCAAAATGGTAAACCGAACAATGCTTCCCTTCTGGTCTGGCCTTTTCCTTCGTAAGGCTTCTCAGCTTTATCTCTTGCGTTGGTCACCACGGAGATGCCAAAAGCATCTACCTTACCGTCCGCTACCGCAGGCGTCCCAGGTTATTGCCCAATCGCCAACGCTGCATCCCCATATATAACAATTTTGTCATTCCAATACTGCTCAGCAGCCAGCATGAATGGCGAGTAAGCCGTTTTGGGAACGAGCACATCTGATTCATCCTGGGACTGAAACTTCTGCTAAATGCGGTTGTGACACACATGACCTTAACCTTTTCAAGTCATGACTGCCAACAAGCAATTCCACTAGTTGCCTTCGTTGTGGGGGGAACAAAGACACTTGATTGGTCGGACTTCATTCCAAATCAAGCTACACTCCCCAAGCTGTGGTCCTACGGCCAATTTAGGATATGCGTTGGGGAGGTGCGTGATTGCTTGACCGCTTCCTTATTACCCCCAGCTCCTTGTGGGAAACCCCTCCACGCATTCCCGCTAAGGGTGTTGATTGCGGAGGACCTCGCGTTCATTGGGGACACTTGAATATTAATGCTTACTCAGCATGTTACTGCAACTTGCCAGTGGTCGCGGTGTCGAAGTTTGCGCCCCTCGAACAGGGATCAGCACGAAGAATGTCGAATTGTCGAACTTTACCCGCAGTTCGCCCAAGCGCAGAAGCCCCGTATTCGGACGCACTAGAACCTCCACCCGCTGCCGCACCGCCCGAACTACCCCCACAAGTTTTCGCGGAAATGAAGACATTTCTTTCATTCTGTTCCCCAGCGGGACGCTTCTGCGGAGCACCCTGCTTGGGAGATCACGATGATGGGCGGCTTGCTGTGATACCTCCATGTAGATCATTGTGTATATATATTCCTGGCTACTGAGGCTTTTGTTGCTGGATAGGAGCAAAGTGGCACGAATCATCGTGGCGCAAGAGTGTTCCCTTCTTAGCGAGCAATTACAAGATAGGAATGATGATATCATTCTTCCCACATAATAGACATGGGGAAGCCACGTGGGATCAGAAAAGAGGGGTGCCGAGCCGAGAAGAGGCCGTTCTCATCGTGTCACTCGAATGACCATAGAGGCCGGAATCCCGATGTTAAAGACCTCTCAATAGAAAAGGAAATGTAGCTCATTTGTTTTCTACTCGGAGAAGTTCCCTTCGTCGGTCCAGGGGTTCAAGCTTAAATAGCGATAGTCATTCCCTCGTGCGGCGAAGCAATCTAGCGGCGACGCTGAGGTTGCGAATGTGAGCGGCAAACCCATTCCAACCGGCATCAAAACGATAAACCTTGTGGTGATAGGGGTAAATTCAATTCGAGCAATGTGGACGGCCCCATAGGTCTAGAAACTCATCCATTGAGAAAGGGAAGATTCTCGAGGACAATTGATCTGCACGATGGTTAATCATGATTCATTTACTTCTTAATGTGTCAATACAGCCTTGCGTCTCCCACAAGGCCGCACGATGCACTTGAGCTTGCTGCCGAGCCGCCACTCAAATGGGCCGTTGGATGTTCGGGGAGTGAGAATTTCCGGTTGTCCGACTCAACGTTCCAGATAGGTTGAAAGGTGTCTAGGATAAGGTGCACAAGAGGGGGCTTTGCTTGAGATCGCTGCAGCTGCATGGACGTGGGACTGGCTGCATATGTAAAATGCATTGCGACGCCATCACGAATGATGCACCAGCTGGCCAATCGATCATCAAGGGGACGGGCAGTAATCCCCCGGCGTCCTGTGTATGAATAGATTGGCTTGATCCTGCAGCCCAGGACGATCCGAGTGGTGGCGCACAATAAGTAGTGCAGAAATGATTGTCCATATAGTGCCAACGATAATGATTTGTCCCAGAAGCCAAGAATACCAAAAACGCACTCAACGCGGAGGACGGGCCGCAATCACGACGATATTGACATGCTGCACTGCAATCACAGGAAGATCGCCAGTTGATCCATCGTTCAATGTGGTGCAGGTCGACACGCGCAGGCTGCTGCGCACAATATCCTGAGGCACTGCAAATCACATTCCCTGGAATAATCATGAGCTGATGAGATGATGAAGGACCCTGTGGGCGAGAGGAAGCTGAGGACAGCGCTAATGCATGCGGCTGATTCTCGGTCAATTGTGGCATGACCTGATTACACCTGTGGCTGAGAAATCTCTATGTACAATCCGAGACGTTGATTGGTAATGCACCCAAGGACATGTGTAGAGATACAGCATCTGCATGGAGGCGGGTTATTGCGGTGTTATTCCTCTGGGCCGTCAGATTGACAACGGTGCATTCGGCTTCTGTGTAAAAGCATAACAACGAAATGGTCTGCGTTCGAGTATTGCGTGGCTGTGGCTTGATCATGATGCGCTCACACCCTCACAAAAGAGGTGTCGAGGCCAAAAGATAAATCCCAAATGCAGATACGCTATAGATATTAAGCGTATGCCTCGCATCAGTCAATTGCATAGCATTGATGAGATACGAAGCAATAACACGCACTTCATCCTCGCCGCAGCTGACAATCTATTGCGACAGATAGTCCAGTAAATCCATGTCAAGGATTGAAGGCATCCCAAGTTTTCAAAAAGGGGCAAATGGGATACCACCCCAGGTAAAAGTTTAGGAAAGGATTGGAAGCGAAACGATCTCTCAACTTCCGCTCACAATTTCCGGCGGAGAGATAGGGGATAAGATACGTTACCTTCGTACAGTCGAACGCGACGCCGAAGATTCGCCCCCTGTGACCGCCGACAAGATCGGCGAGCAGTACCCCCGTCCGTCGATCCCAAACCTGTTTCAGTATTTTGGAAAACAGCAGGAGAAATGGATTCCAATTATTAGCCTCCCGATAAACCATCGAGAACCATAGTCCAGAATAAATATACAAGAAACTTACCTTGATAGTAGCATCATAACTTGCACTGACTACCACATCGGCATCCATTGCTACAGCTCGCACGAGATCCTGATGATGTTGGTGCACCTGATGCAAAAACGACTGGCCGTGATGAACGTTCCGTACAACTTCAAGCGGAACACGACCTGTTCCGGAGCACGTAGGGCACGCATCCAATTCATTGTGAGCGCTAGACCCCAACGAACTCCTCATAGGGCCGCTGAAGCGCTCGATGAGCGAATTGTACGCAGCCACTGCCCTCTGTGAATAGATAGAGGAACGCAACTGATGACCATTTATGCCTCCGCTGTATCCATTATTTTCTCCTCCTGGAAAGGCTTGGGCTTGGGAAGTATGCGTATGCGCAGCACCAAGGCCAAAACCGGCGAATGCATGATGTATATCGAGTCCCACAAAGGTGGCCGTCGTTTGATTGCTCCCATTGCCTGGTTCTGAACTCGTGTGAGAAACGCCGGGACCTTCCAATACGAGATGAGAGTGG